GTGTTCTAACTGCGTGCCTTACATGGTGTCCACCAGTCGTATCTTCTTAGAACCTTTTAAACATAATCAGAATTTTAATTAATAACCTACTCCCCAAGAAATAGTAATTACAGAACCATAAAAATGGTTGAATCGCTCAGATTTGGGATTCTACCATAGTACTCATTCAATACCCAACTTAGAATTGAGTTAGAACCGTCTGTGTTCACGTTCAACCAGTAATACTAATTTTTTCAACACATAACTGACGTCTTCTACAGGTTCTCAGTTTATCACCGCTAATATTCATTGTTTTCGGTAGGCAACTTCCATAATACTACGTTTGCTAAATTGGATTTTTCATGCAAGATTTTTCAAAATAACTTCAGAAAATCCACCCTGATGCTAGTCAGCAATAAGAATTCTAAATCTATGCAAAACTAAGCTACCAAGATCACTCTGGTGTCTAATAACTGCCTATTCATGAAGAAATCGATTAAACTGCCACAAATTGAACAAATTCGCCCAAATCTATTCCCCTTAATATCGACAGATATTTGCAAAGTACTCGGAAATAAGCATTGATAAAATTAGGCTTTGCTTTGAACGATCTTGAGTATGCAGCCATTTTGAAATATTAAATGTCCTCATTACTTCAGTGATCTCATTACTGATTCTAATATCCATGTCGTTTATCCTTTCTAACTCACAGTCTGTAATAATTTTTTATGAGTTATGTAATCCCTCATTTAAGTGTGCCTTAACTCTCCTGATTCGAAAAATTAGTCCTGCATTTTTAATCTAAAATTATCAAATGGTTTTTTAATAGTCTTTTTGTGTATAAACAAAGTTAATCTAATTTTAGCAAAGACTAAATTTTCATACTTATTTTTGGTTGAACTCAGTCCCTGGAATAGGTCTTTAATGTTCCACACGATGAACCACACATGTATTGTCTGTGAGGGCTGATGATATACTACCCAGTTGCCCCGGGTGATGAAGTAGGCGGAGCTAGCAACCGACTAAATGAAAGTCGATCACCTAAGCAAATGAGCCAAGTCTCCACCCATTTTCAAACACTGTTTTAATATTGAAATGAACCCATTATTTTATTAATCAATGGGTCTGAGTTAACGTCGTCAAAGTTCACATTAAAATGTTTATCTGTGAGGTCAGTTTAAATGAATACTAAAAGATTCGCCTAATCGATAACACACTGCCTATTGATACCAACACAGTAAGTGAGTGATCGTACTGTGTTCACCAAAACACACTTGACACTTTTGTGACTACATTTCGGATAGTGTAAGTTCTCACTTTCGGAATTTCAATTTACTTAACATTAAAAATGAAAGTCAGTGAAGGATATTGTTTTCCTTCCTAACATTACTCCAATGGCGTGTTCAGTTACACAATGTTCGTAAAGGTCAGGGTGATACATGTAAAGGTCATTTGTTCATATCTCTTGGTAACAAAACATTTAAATCTACAAATAAACAATTACTAATAAATAATGTGATCTAAAAACAACAGGTGTTGAGTGTTGCTCGGAAATGATTTCCATTAAAACGTATAACCGCTTGGAAACAGAAAAATTGTTCAAAATAGTATGAGATAATAATAATAATAAGAGCAATAATAGCTTTATTCTGAACAATGTTTATTTAATGTACAGATAATTCAGAGGAAATTATTGCATAACTCCATTATGGATAAAATTTTATTCTGATAAAATCACACAGTGTTTGTTATACAGTAATATTCACTGATGACCACGTTCCGAGCACAGTTTATTACTCAGTTTATTAATCATATCAAGGCACTCACACAACTTTCTTGCTTCGTTTATATACATGAGTAAAAATTGACAATTAGATGTCTGAATAATAGCCAATATAAGACAAAGTACATTCAGAAAGAATATTATTAGTGTCATCAATAAAATGCAATAAGATGGGGAATAAGATATTTTTTAGTAAAAATAAGTAACTTGTTAGAATGTGAATTGAACAAATTTTAACGTTATTTATTATCCTTTGATTTGACTGGTAATAATATCTTCCATATCTCTGGTATTTGCGTTGAGTCACTTCCATTGCATGTGCTGGCTGTAGACTCGATGAACCAGGCAGGATTCAGTAATCAACCTCTCTCTCCACCAACTACCTATATTACTTTTTAGAATTTTAATCCTCCCCCACCCTATAGTATGGTTGTGTGTTAATGCATGCAATTTTTCCTACATTACTTATCTTCGTGGAATCAGTCACTCTAACCTTAGCTAAATTCTAATGTTCTGATAATCTGACTACTCCTGATCTACTAGTCCAACCTATGTAGCTAACCTCATTCTAAGTCATTGGAAGGTATTTTGTAAATGATATTATTTTGTCTAGTTGGGTCTATCGGATCCTTTAGCCTACAGAGCTTGTCCCTGAGTGAGTTTGTAGGTTTGAATAGCACCTTAATTCCTGCTTTATTGAGAATCCTACGTATGGTCTCAGATGTCCCCTCCTTATATACATATATTATAGTGTAATATAATATTCTTTCTGAATGTACTTTGTCTTATATTGGCTATTATTCAAACATCTAATTGTCAATTTTTACTCATGTATATAAACGAAGCAAGAAAGTTGTGTGAGTGCCTTGATATGATTAATAAACTGAGTAATAAACTGTGCTCGGAACGTGGTCATCAGTAAATATTACTGTATAACAAACACTGTGTGATTTTATCAGAATAAAATTTTATCCATAATGGAGTTATACTCTACCACCGTGCCCAAGTTTTATCCTTATATCGAACTTATCGCATAATAGTTTCGTTGTCCAATATCTTCAGGTAAAATAGTAACTGACAGTAAATTGAGTAACACAGTACTGTCTGACCTGAAGCGAAAACCAAAATCTTATTACATTTAGTTTTTACTTCCTTCGAGATCTGCACAACATTTGTTTGAAAGGTGTAGGAGTTAATTGAAAACAAAACACTGACATTAACATAACACGTAGTTCAGAGAAGAGTCTCTTGTCGGTGAATTCATCCACTCAACTGTACAATCGCAATTACATATACTTAGTTTCGTATGTGTGTGTACATTAGGTTTGTCCGAGGTGGCACCTGGTGTAAAGGCTGAATTTTTATCAATATTGTGATCCGTATCCATAAGGTGTGCCAATATGGGACTCTAGACTGACTTTACGACTCTCTTACCTAACCAAGTTGGACAAAGCTCAAGAAACTGACGTTGGGCCTTCCAAGTCGTTCTACCTATGTAACTGTCTTCACAAGAACAGTTAAATTTATAAATTCACATTAAGGTTGTAAGACTCGATAGCTTATCCCTCACCTGCACTGGAATTATACAACGAGTGGTGAATTTTAAACTTGAAGTGTTGCCGCAAAATCTTTCCTGCTATTGCTTTTTGTAGCTTTGATGCCACTAATTCACTGGTTGTGTCTCCAATGAATGGTAAAGTCATTTGTACTTGTCGCTTCTGGACAGTTTCTAAGCCTTTCTCTCAATCTGTTCTCATCATGGAGACTTTAACAAATTTTTCTTGATATCCATTCTCATGATACATTTTCTATTGCCTGTTTGCTTAAATTGTGTTCTCAATTTGTCTTTGTGGGAATTTTCAAATTTTCAAAAGAATAGATACCAAACAAAGAATACTCTTTCAGATAACTTCATCATCAGGCTTGACAGTTTTATATATATTATAGTGAATGAATGAATTAGTGTTATAAGCAACATTGGTGTTTAAATAACATCGAATCAATAATATTGATAGATTACAGCTCAGTAGCATCAACATAAAATAAGCTGAATGTCAGAGAAATTAGGAAAGATAATATTACAAATTCATGAATTTATAGTCTCTACTGAAGGCCGGCCAGGGCAGTAGTAGGGGCTGGACTTGCTTCTTTTGAACACAGACCACTGGGTGTTTAAGGCGAATTGCAATAGACTCTGCTGTTTGGAGCATGCGGTGCTTCGATGATTTTGGCAATTTATTAGGCACCCGGTAGTTTATAGGGAAGGATTCTTCCACGCTGGCTTTGTGGCCGGCAGGTTTTGACCAGATAGTCCAATATCGAACTGTTGATGGTTTTCACTACATCTTTACTTAGCCATAGTGGGATATGTTCTCGAGCACGAAAAATCAAGTTCCTAGAGCAACGGCCAATATAACTCGCTCCACAAGCGCAGTTGAATTGGTAGTTGCAATTTGAAGTAATTTAATAATTCCCATTGTAGCATTAGGAACACAATATTCACCGAAAAAACTCTTTTCAAAAAATTTATCATCAAGCTGTACAATCGTATATATATGGTTTTTTTTATATCCGATGAGGGAATTAGGTCAAAGGTGTGAATACATGAAATAATAGTAGTATTAAATACAATTAAAATATTTGTGATCATAATCATAGTTTAATGTCAAGTAGCAAGACAATTAGTGTCATATGTAGAATAATACATAAGGTGTATAGATTTTGGAAAGGGGTACGCAATTATTAGATTAGTAGACGAATATAAAATGTTACATAACATGGTGTGAAATTTGATAAGATAAAATTCAATATTGTAAAAAATGAAAATATAAAAATTAATAATTTTGGGTTTAAAATGACAAGTGGGTCAAGTGGAAAAGATTCAGAGCGAGAATAGTAATAATAATAATGATAACAATAATAATCGTAGTAATAAGGGAAAAGTTCATAGAACAAAATAAATAAATGTCTATCCCTCTACGGCCAAGGCAGAAGTAGGGACTGTACATACTTCTTTTGTACACAAAGGTCTGGCTTAAAGTCATGAAGTGGCTAGTCTAGGTACTTCATCTCTCAGTTGAGGTAGCACCATCGGTCGTGTAGACAATAAAATTGTTAAATTGTTCAAATTGTTAAATAATAACAGTAGAGTTATGCATATACTGATATTATTACCTCATGAATGCTTCTGAAATAATATTTCTGTCCTAATTTTTTCTCTTCTGGTTCTTATTTTCAGATAATTGTGTTATGCTAAACTCCTAATCAACATACACTGCTGTAATTTAAATTTTGAATACAATTAGCAATAATCAACATGCCTACACCAAGTATATTTATAAATTCAGCTCAAGAGGATGATAGCAATGGTGGGGGAAGTTTGAAAGCGTCAGTCAAATCGAAACCATTAAATCTTCCAGTACCAGAATTGAAAATTGTTAATGATGATGTTGATGGGGAGGAGAATAACGTGTCAAGTGATGATGAAGATGTCATGACAGCTGAAGAAGAAGCTGCTGTTGCTCGTCGATTTCTTGGTGGAGGTGAAGTGACCGAACAGCGAAGGTAAATTTTTTTATTAAAATAGCATGTTTACTACTCGAATACATGTAAAATATATTACTGAACTCGTATGTGTGTGTGACGAATGATTGTTTCATGCTTAGATGCTTAGTGTTAGCTGTTCACTTATAAGAGTTCGCAGATTAATAAAACAACCTTATTTGACACAATCTCAACTCATACTATTTGAATTACTTTACTATGTGAATCTGTTACAATTGCCTAATATGTAGTAGTAGTCAGATTTATCTGTATGTCTTGATTTATATATTCTGAAATAGTTGGAACAATTATCACATCTTTCGTAGGTTTTAGAAGTATTCTGTTAACTGATATTAGCAGCCGCAAAATCTAAATCAAGCAAAAGCTTGAGCGTGGAATTTAGAACAGATAATTTCTATCTCAGCAGTTTTACAACTGATCGCTATTAACCTAACTTTGGAAGGCTATAAAATCAAGATCGACTGTTCAGGGACAGTGGAATATTCCTAAATAAAATGATTCTGAGTATACCTAGTTTTCGAATGCATCTGATTCAGCCGAAATATTCACAATCGCCGGTTGTGGACTATAATTCATCCTACAATTTTTTACTCACTTCGTTAATACGAATTGAAACCACTTTTATTTTTAAAAGAATAGATACAGAACAAAGAATACTCTTTTCGATAACTTCATCTTCAGGCTCTACAGTTATATATACATTATAGTGAATGAATGAGTTAGTGTTATGAACAACATTAATGTTGTTTAAATAAAATCGAATCAATAATATCAATAGATTACAGCTCAATAGCATCAACGTAACAAAAAGCTGAATGTCAGAAAAATTAGGAAAGATAATATTTCAAAGTCATGAATTTATAGTCTCTACTGAAGGCCGGCCAGGGCAGTAGTAGGGGCTGGACTTGCTTCTTTTGCACACAGAGCACTGGTTGTTTGAGGCGAATTGCGGTAGCCTCAGCTGTTTGGAGCATGTGGTGCTTCGATGATTTTGGCAATTTATTGGGCACCCGGTAGATGATAGAGAAGGATTCTTCCACGCTGGCTTTGTGGCCAGTTTGCACCAGATAGTCCAATGTTGAACTGTTAATGGTTTTCACTACACCTTTACGTAGCCATAGTGGGATATGTTCTCGAACACGAAAAATCAAGTTCCTAAAGCAGAGAATGGAGAAAATTTGTATATCAAAAGTTTATGTTCCATTGTCTGAGATGAACTGTTTCCATTGAAACATAGGTCTTCGACAGTAAAGTATTTCATCCTTTTCTCTGTAGCCCTTCTCAACTGGCTTAACTGTTGGTTATATGCTCTCATCTCCTCCTCACAGGATCTCCTCTCTATCACACTCAGACGCATGCTGAAGTCATCGCTTCCCATCCAGATTCTAATCCAGGGCCAGGCTAACGATATCACTCAGCAATCTCGTCAGTATCTCTCCGATCCATCTCCACTTTCCCCTGCATCTTTGTTGAGCAATAGGTCCTTAGTTGGATCGTTCCCAGAGTTCCTAATTGCTAATCCTTTTTGGACATTTAATATTCAGTACCAAGCTAGCGAAGGCAGCTGTTGATAACAGTCTGCAGCCTGTCTGAAATGCTTTCTATGAGGCAACAAGTTTCTCGCCCTTATAGAAGGACTAATTGAATTAACATTGGTGTTGAAAACCCAAATCTTGTTCTTTGTGATGACCAGGTGCAACAGATTCCCAAACTGATCTCAGGTTGATGAAGGTGCACTTTACCTTTCCTATTCTGGATGGCTTTGACATCTTCATCCGTTCTGCCTGTAATTGAAACGATACTGCCTAGATAAATCAAGTATGTGAAATCTTTCGAATTTCTTCCGTCGGTATTGATAGCAGCATGCTGTTGTTGTTAAGTTAACCCCAACAAAAAAGAATAGGAGATGGTCGGCAAAGATTTTGCAGGGTCGCACCAAACTAATTTTCTGACCATTGATGATATGATGTTCAGAGTGGTAGTGAATGCTTCACAATTCGAATATCCATCTAAAAGTATGCGAGAGAATCAAGATACGGATTTCTGTTTGATGGTGGTGAGCAATGGAATCTAAAAAGCCCTTTTAAGTTCTATCTGTACCTTATCAGCCGTTGCACCTTCACCTTAACAAATACAGTAGTTAAAACCTTATGTTTACTTCGACTTCCCTAAACTGACATATATTTCTGAATAACTCATGAGTTAATAAAGGTTTTGTTTAAATATTTATCATTTGCAATGTACTTCATTTATACTTTCAACATTTACACAAAACTCTAAGCATACACCTTTCTTTCCTCCAATAGAATGTCTTCCCTGGATATGTATCTTTTACAACAAGAAGATGTAAGTCTATTCATTGAACACTAGTCGCAATTTTTCATATATATGTATACATATCAATTTTTAAAGTTATTTCATGATTTTTAGGACTCATTCTAAGTGGAACACTTGATCTCAAGCTTTTAAGGTTCAATGGTGTCTGTGTTGTTTTTGCAAGATGCGACTGGCAAAGCAGGTCCAATGTACCTTTTTTTCTGGGCCCATTACCGGCTAGTAAGATAAGCGTAGTTTATAATTACATCCAAAAGGGAGTCGAACCTCTAACCACGCACTTGGTCGGTGATTATTCTACCAGTGAACCACCGACGTGCGATAAAAGTGATGGTTAGTTTAAATCTACTTTAGACATCTCAGTTGCTAAGATACAGATCAGTGCGGGAGTGAGACTGTCTGAGATAGTCTTTGGTAGGCAATTTTCCGTAGACTGAATGTCTGATCACTGGTCGGGATCGTGCACCGTGAGCCAGACTTCCATTTCACGTTCAGTTACTACCTTTGAAGCAAATCATTCTTCTGTTCTTTCGTTTATTCTACCTAACTTCACTAAGATAAGTTGAATTTTGTCAATAAAACTTGCATAAATTGTCATTTAGCAAAGGAATTCGTCATTTTCAACTTGCCCAGTTCGATACTACTACTAATGGAACACTGAATGACCAAGTTGGGAGAATGACATAAGGAGTGAATCCCCATTTCAGTTAGTTTGAAACATAACGTCACCTCGTTGAGTATCTTTCCACGTACCTGAGTTAGAAAATCAAATAGTTAATGAATTTCCTCATAAAATCAGTCACTAATGACCATTAGCAATTAGCGCTTAAATGTTTAATTTGTGACGGTACCACTGATTTCAAATTGGACGCTGTCACCGCGACGGTAAACAGGAATTGGACATCAATCTTGCTATAGCGCATAATGGACATAAGTTTAAATTTTATGAACCGCTGAATTCGAATCCAAGAGTTCAACAAGAATGTCTCCGTCTTATAATCTAAGGTTATGTATTTAATTCCTAAAGAAGACATGGATCACCATTGTTGGTAATTTTTAAATTAGCACACCAGAGCAGCTCTATGGTTTTCATCTTGACGTGTAATCGAATTCCCGTGCACTTAAAATATGCAGTTCAAACTTCATTCAGCCATTTTTAAGTTACATACCGTAAAGATGATTTCAGTCACCTAGATATTAGAGAACTTTTCAAATAAATAAAGAAATATGGTATCTCTATACTAAGAATACATTCTAAAATTCAGTAGTATTCCCATTGAACAATAGATCAATACTGAAATAATCGATGTCATGACATTTATGAGAATGACCTTGAGAAGATGTATCAGTTTATTTATTTACATTTTTGCAGTATCAACAATCTGAATTAAAATGCCATGTAATCCATCAGTGATACACTAACCAATTCTCTACTAAAGATAAGTAATGTATGATTGTTGAATACCGAAATGATAAAGAATGAATGAATAAAAATAATGCCTCATGTATAGGAATCTTTTTAGTCTTTAGCTATATATACTACTTAAATGTTGTGGATAACAACTAGGACAGTTTGTTTAATGAAAGATTTCTAAAATAGAAAGTAACTCGTCACTGGTAGATGGAATTACTGAGAACTAAAGCTGAAATGAGCCAGTTCATACTGGGCGAAAAGGGCTCAAAGGGTATTCCGAATGAAATTCATAATCTGCAAATTAGTTAGCTGTTTGCACTGTACACAGTTCGAGGGTTAAAAATTTCAGTTTCACAATTAATCAGTAGCAAGCCATTTTATGCAAATATGCTCGTCTTCTTGATTGCCATCTACGGTATCAAGCAGATCATATTTATTGTGGTTTGAATGGTTTCGGTTTCCAAAGGAAACTTTGGTGAAAACTTCACCCCTCGAACTGTGTACATTACAAGTTGATATTATTATTTAATTATTATTCCCTTGGGTTCCGAGTGGAACATAGGGCCTCAGCAATACATCCCCACTTTTTGCCACTTTCTACTGTCCTCTTCAGCTGGGTCCGCGATTGACCATAATCTCTATCTTCTCCTCCCCACACCATCTCCTCCATATTACCCTCGGATGACTCACTTGTTGCTACCCATTGCGATTCCACTCGAGCTACAGCCTGCATTGCGCGCAATGTCACTCGACAGCCCCCTCAGAGTATCTCCAATTCATATCCACTTTCTCCTACATATTTGTTGAGCAATCGGATCTTGGTGGGTTCATCCTCTGCCGGAGCTTCTTGTTGCTAATTCTTCCTAGCCAGCCGGTCATTTAATGTTCAATGTGATAAAAGTCTGCCGGTAGCTGTTTCAGGTGTTTTCGTGACGGGCCAAGTTGCTGACCAGTATAGAAGAACTGACTGACCCAACATTGATGTTGAAAATCCGAATGTGTGCCACGTAGTGCGGAAGATTTACAAACTGGTTTTGGTTTGATGAAGGCGTATCTTTCCTTTCCTATTCTGGCTCTCTTTGACATCATCTGTTCTACTGGTTGCGGTTGAAACCATGTTTCCTAGATAAGTGAAGGGAGTAACCTCCGTCAAATGTCCCAAGTTGGTGGTGACTAGTGCTGGTTGTTGTTGTTGCTGTTGGTGGTAGTTGGTTAATTTCATCGCCTCCATCTTCTCGATGTTCAACTGGAGTCCTGTCTTCGCTGCTTCTTCATCTAGTTTGTTGAATTTTTTCCTGTATGTTTCCAAATTTATGTCATATTAGACATAAATCGTCCAGGAAAGATCTTATAGAGTCTTTTTGTCAGTCCACTGTATTACTATCTCCTCACTCCCCACATAATATAGTTCACCACAATTAGGAACATCATCGGCGGTAATAGGCAGGCAGCCTTGTCTTACTCATGTATCCATTCCAAAGTCTTCGCTGAGTTTCCCGTTGTGGACCACCTAACACGTTCCACTGTTGAATGTGGTTGATTAAGATTTTAACACAGCACTCCATAGCACTGAAGTACTTTTCTAATTACTTCACAGTCAGCGCTGTCTGTCGAAGGCCTTCTCGAAGTCGATGAAGTTAAGGTGAGGTTTGTCTGCCATTCTATGCTTTCTTCGCTGAGGATGCGTAGAGCTACAATTAGACCAGCACATGACTTGCCTTTCTTGAATCCATCCTGCTGCGGTTGACAGAGTTCTACATCCAGTACATTTTTTATTCTCCCCAGGATCACGTGACTTTGTGTTTTACTTGGAGTGGACAACATTAGCATCATTACACGCCAGTTCTTGCACAGGAGTAGGTCGCCTCCTTTTTGGTAGCCTAACAAGGTATCCAACGCACCGGTGCGTCGGTGGCATAGTGGTTAGGACGCTCGCCGACCGTGCACATGGTCCGGGGTTTGATTCCTGGCCGACGCACTCCCTTACCTCGCTAAGCCAGAAATAATGCTGGTGAAGAGGAAAGGTTGGGCATGAGGCTAGTAACCCCATCCTGTAAAAATAAACACTGCTACAGAAACTTCAAGCCACAAGCTTGAAGCCCTATGTTCCACTGGGGAACGTGAAGGAATAAAAAAACAACAAGGTATCCAGATTTTCTTCCAGTCGATAGGCACCTTTCCTTCCCTCTGAAGTTTTTAGAATATGGGCATGACGAAAACTGCCTCAGTCTCTTTGTCCGTTTTCAGTGCTTTGGGTTAGGCGAATTGTATCTGGTGTTTCTACTTTCCTGACTGAACTTTGGTGGCTTGATCTCATCCAAGATTTCTACTTTCGTTGGAGGATTGATACCCACTGGTTGGTAGTTCTGTGCGTGCTGTTGGTAGTGTATTTCCGGGCGATTTGCAGGTGATGGTCGATCCAAGATTCCTTTGAGGTGATCAGCCCATTGTTTTATTTGTTTCTACTCCTTGGTAATCAGGTTCCCTTGAGCATCTCTTTTTTTATCATCTGGGTTGATCTATTCCCGGATAGAGCCCCGGTTATCATATATAATGTCCGAAGGTCTCTTTTACCTGCTTCCTGTCTATTCTGCTTGAGTTGCCACCAGCCACTGTGTTGTAGAATTGTCGTCTTTCTTTCCTATCACCCTTCTTTATTTCTTTATTCAGTACAGTGTACACTGAACCCAGTTGATCTCTCTGTTGTCCATCTTTGCATTGAGTCATCGCTATTCTCTTTTATCATCCTCCTCTTGTCTATTACATTCCAGGTATCCGTCGACAGCTATTCTTTGTCTTGTCTCTTTTTTCTTCCTAAAACAGTTGTATAGGTTTACAATCAAACTGCTACAGAACATTCAACACACAAAGTATATCACAAACTGCTAAATAACTTACAAATTTTGAATTTCATTCATGGTATGACCAGTTCGTCCAGTCGGCTAGCCAGATACCAGGAGGTTTGAAAAGATTCGGTTCTCTGAGTTAAGTCAAATCGAGTACATCGGTGATGAACTGGGTACAGAACGAGCTAAATGGCCTTCCAGTGTTTAATTTACCTCGATTTGGCTAGCAAGCAAGCACTAGCGCTTGATATGAGCCGCATACAACTACTCATCTCAATCGATCACTAGAATTTTCCAAATATCCCATGATTATTACTATGACGCGATTCCATGACAGAACACACGCTGAACAGATGCTAACTGAAAAAAATGTGTGTTTAAATTACTGAGGTATCTCCACTTTTCCTCCTTAATCTTCAGATACACTAAAGTAAATTAAGAATATCCTTAAGGTTTAATTCAACCAATTTACATTACTGAAGAACTCAGTCGACTGAAACTGTCCTACTTTAGACTTTCAGTCTGTACTTGAAAAGTAGAAGAGGTTATTTATCGTGATTATCACGCTTCAAGTTATGTTTTGAATATTTCGCCAAAATGGCAATTTTTACCTACTGTGTTTTTGTAAAATAACAGTTATTTCCTAATTTTTAAACAGAACAATATGCATGGTCATATCAGCTGTCATTAACTGGATTGTGACTAGTATACCTAACTATTTCTTAGTGCCAGTAAATGTCAATGGAAAGCTTAGATATAAACTACTTAGTTAATGGTGCGGTAACAAACATAACTTTAAGAATTTTCAAGTATTGGTTTTGTAGGGATTTTTCGTTTCATTGGTTGGAGGATTTCATCATGAGCGGACATCAGTTAAAAAACCATTGGAAAACCTGCTGGGAGTAGTGGATAGCTGTTTCGCCCTTCTTTGGGACTCTTCGTCAGTACCGGCGGGTGCATACTGTGAACAGTACCAAACTAGGACGAAGCAGTTGTCCAGTACTCCCAGTAGGTTTTCCAATGGTTTTTTAACTGATGTCAGCTCATGACGAAATCCTCCAACCAATCAAACGAATATAATTTTAGGAATTATTTGGCGAGTGAAGGAGACCTCAGGTTTGTAAAAAACTCATGTATTCTAAAAATACTATACGCGGTGTTAAAACCACATTCTTTATCATTTCAATTTTGAATGTTCAGACGACACCCAAAAAACTTGATTTTAGTCTCCAAAAGAATATGTTACTTCTGAAGCTCATTAGGATGCTACCGAAAGCTTTACTTCTGAGACTTCTAAATCAATCAATACTTTTATCAGAAAGCTTCACATTAGTTTTAAATCTAGACCAGTTACAAAATATACTACATACTATTTTCGTATTTTTCATTATTCTAGAAATGCGAATCCATGATAATTAATCGTCATATCAGTTTGAAAGCAGAAGAGAAAGATGTAAGTTGTTTTTTAAAAATATTACTAATACAGATATAGAACTTTGAGCTCCAATGTTTATTATTACTTATACCTATTTATCAGTAGTTTGTCTAAAGTGTAGGATTTCTAAAGCAATAAAAAGAGATACAAAACCTATTAGCTAAAAAAAAGCTTTTGTCTAAGAGAAGCCAATTGAAATGTTTTGTTTACAACCTCCCGTTGATTGGACATACTGAACTGAAAGATCCAGAACGCACGTTCCGTCCTATCTGGAAATCATCCGAATGGTATACATGTATCCCCAGCAAGTGATACTGTCCCCCCTGAGACTTGAACCCAGCTTAAAGGGATGTGCTTTTGCGGTTGAGTTTTATTAGGGACACATTCATTCACTCAGGGATGAAATTAAATCTCTGGAGGACATCCAGAACGAAAAGTGCGCCGTGAATTTCACTGCTAGTAATCATCAAATGAAGTGAATTATTTCATTACACCTTTTCTCGATGTAGAACTCCAAGAATCAGTAAGTTATCGAGGAATTTCAGGACAGTACGAGTGTACAGTACTCCATTCTAATGAAAGATCATTTCATAACTGATGTCACAGTAGACTTCAAACTATCTAAGAGTTCAATAGAAATACCGTGATCAACTAGAAAACGTCTCATGAGTTCTGGTGGCAATAATGTCATTAATAAGAAATCATCAATACCTCTAGATGCCATAGCAATAAAAACCGAGCATAACTTAGATATTTTTCAGGTTAAATTTGAATGCGATAATTGAAGAAACTTCTGAGAAATCATGTAGTTTTGGTAATATCCAACTGGCTTTTAAAATTACAAATGAAGATTCCGATTGCAGACTAGTCACTGACCAGTCTGCGATCAGAGTATCTAATACAGTCCTACAGGAGGTCAATCGCAAACCCAAATAGCTCAATGGTAACGTCTCTGACTGCAGCACTGGGTGACGCGAGTTCGAATCTTAGAAGGAACATGAGTTCCTTCAAAGTTTCAGATACACCTTGCTGACGAGTGCCAACTGGCACGAAACCTGGGTCCAAGGCTTCCTGCAGATTACCTCCAACCATCTAATATCAACATTTGAAGATTGTTTAACACAGGCATTAATAAACGTTTATGTGTAGAAAATGTTCACCCTTAAAGAATGGAGTTTCACGGTACGAACAGTTTGTTATATATTACATTTATCAACGCAGTATAACTAACTGGATGATGTTTACAGAGCTGAATATTATTCGAAACGACAATAGTGATTCATTTTCTACATATACATATATATATGTCTACTTATTTTGTTTTAATTATAGTATGAAACGGAACAAAAACGCTTGTTACAAAAAGAAAAAGAGGTGAGTTTTAATTTCTGATAACATTTACTGTCATTATGTAATTGAACTAATTCGGAATGAAACAAAAACCTAATAAGTTCTTGTGTTTGTGAGACTTTTATGACCGAAAGATTCCATCACCAAATAATATCATCTGTAAGGCAATTGAAAAATGAGAAGTACTGGGCGCAACTCTAGATTAGTTTAACACTTCCCAGTGGTACATACACCAATGACTTGGCAAAGACCTAGAGCAGAGACATCAGGTTTATCTGTGGCCACGGTTTCTCCAAATGAATAACTCAGTTGCTCAAGATGTTATTTATCAAGGTAGAAACTAATGATGAATTAGTTGTCATTACCATTGCCTTCGTTTCCAGATGAAAAAAAATGATAAAAATTTGCTTTATTATTTATTATTATTCCCTTGGGTTCCAAGTGGAACATAGGGCTTCAACAACACATCTTCACTCTGTTCTTCATTATGGAGCGAAGGTAGCTGTTGACAAAAGTCTTTAACTTGTTGGAAGGACTTTTGGTGACACGCCGCTCCAGTTTCTGATCCTTATGAAAGAACTGAGTGACTTCAAATTTGCGTTGAAAATCCAAATCTTGTTCTTTGTATTGGCTGAGTAAAGAAGATTTTCAAACTGATTTCAGATTGGTAAAGGCGCATCCTGCCTGAATTCAGCTTGTTCCGGCTAGTGGAGTTCTGCATCCAGTAGATATTTTATCCTCTCCAGAATGATGCGAATAGTATTTTACTTGGAGTGAATAAGAGCATTATTCCATGCCAGTTCTTTCAGAGGTAGATTAACAAGGTGTACAGAGTTTCTTCCAATCGGTAGGCACCTTCCCTTCTTTCCAAACCTTTTGCAGTAGTGGCGTCAGAACATCTACTGCAGTCTCAGAGGCCACTTTCAGTGCTTCGGGGGAAATTTTGCCTGGTCTTGCTGTCTTCCTGGACTTCACTAGCTTGAATGCATTCAGGATTTTCGCTTTCGTTGGAGGAGTGGTATCCACTGGCAGGCAGCTCTGTGCATGCTGTTGTTGGTGGTATTTCTGGCCGAGTTTCAGGTGTTGGTTGACTCAAGAGTCCTTTGAAGTTATCAGCCCATTGTTTTATTTGTCTCTCCTCCTTTGTAATTAGGTTCCCTTGAGCATCTCTTATAGGTCTAATCTGTGAAAAATGTACTTTGATGACCATTAATCTTAAGTGGCTTCTTCGTCATTCTTTATATTTCCAGCGCCCACTTCCTTCAAATTCGTTTTTGTTTTCTTTATAGCTTTGCTTACTATACTATATATATATACATATATATATATTAAATTTAACGCTGAAGATGCTGTCTAGAAATATAATGGAAGCTTCGAAACTAAACCATCCATATGACACAATACAACACTATCAAATACACCCGCTTAAGCTATAAATCTCCTTCATCACTTCAAAATATATGAAGACACCTAGTTAAGAGCAACAACCAAAATTCTTATCACAGTTAGATAATCTTCATCAGAACATTCAGTGTAAAGGCATTTCTCTTAGTTATTGCTATGCTAGGAATCGCAAAACAAAAATTACTATTCACAACTATTCAAACTGTTTCACTTAATTCTGTGGAACAGTCCTCACAGTCCACTTAATCACCATATACGAATAATACTAAGTAATTAATATGAAAATATCCTTTTCTGCATCTTATTTTATAGTCGGTTTTTATATTACAGCAACATCATTAATGAGCTCCGCTGCAAACTAATGATTATATCACCTTAATTTAGCCAGTAGGCACTATTTGATTCGAGTGGTTTTTAACTACTTATATAAACCAGTAGTATGTACTATCTGAACATAACATCCCATAGTCTGTTTTTATTGCAAAGAAAATTCCACAATTATCAGCTGTTCTGTTTTCATGCGGGAGCAATAAAGCATTTATCTTACCAAGCCTACGTTTTTACTTTATTTAGTGACATTATAGGAGTACAAGTTAACAAAAGAAGGTCTCATAACCGTTATATGAAATAGGTATGCGATGAATCCATATAATCAGGATAAACTAGTAACAGGAGGATATTTCTAGAACTCTAGTTAAAAACAGCATTGCTTATCAGCTAATACATTGCCTTTCATCATGTAACTGAAATACAATATATACTCTGGTGTTCTCTTTTGTGACATAAGGTAACAATGAAATATATTAAAGAGTTGTAAACTTTCATTGGTTGGAGAATTTCATCATGATCTGACATCGGTTAGTGAACCATTGAAAAACTAGCTGGGAGTACTGGACAGCTGTTTCGTCCTAGTTTGGGACCCTTTAGCAGTACGCACTCGCCTCCAAGGTTCGACCCCAGTACCTTCTGGTTACAAGGCGAGCTCATAGACCATTAAGCCCCTGGGACCAGATCCAATGGCAACAACAACAAGTAGAAAACCTCAAGTAATTTTTGAGTGTTGGATTTGTAGGTAACTGACACAAATTAGGATTCACAATCCTCAGATTCCGAACTGGTAGTTGAATGGAAAATTGTTCGTCTAATAACCTAAAGAAACCCTTAATTTGGTACATACTAAAAATGAGTCCACAAACTAAGATGATATCGGCACGTTTCTCTAGATGATAATGATCATGATAAAAATAGTCAAAATAGTGTCTTTATATACAATATAATGATGGTTTTAGTTACACTTGGCTTAAAAGGCTTCCAGATGGTCTAGGACGAAATCTTCATTTATGTCTGACATTAGTCTATATATACTAACGTTAGACATACATTCTTAGGTAAAGAGGGAAAATCAATCGATGTGGTCGTGAAACTATATCGAGTGAGATGTCTAGAACACGTGCTATGTGTGCCAAGCTACCGCCTTCCTCTTCAAGCAGTGTTATCTGACATAAGATTAGGCTGGGAAAAAGTTAAGGGGTGGTTAAAACTAAGAGATATTATTGATTGATGAAGTCCCTTACTAGTGGTTTGAACCTCATGGGGAGGTGTAGACTGCGTGGCTGGAGTCCTCGGAAGTCTATGGACCAATGGCTTGAGACTGTTCGTGATATGGCTTAGAAGTGTTACTAAAGATGAATTCACTCTCTTTGAATTCCTAGATCCATGAAATTTTCACTCAACACCATGTACCCATTCTCTCACTTGTATATATTTTCTGTTCATTATGGTGATCACCATTAAATGTTGTGACCACAGTTTCCCCTTCTCCTTAAAATACTTAATTAACTGTCTTTTATTACCCTCCATTTTATAACACTATTTTTTTAGATAATATAAAAACGGTTAAAAATGAAAACCTTATCCACCTTATCATTGTTTAAATTGTTTAAATCCGTTATGTTTATTTAAATTTGCGCGCAAATCATTGCTTTCAATGTTCAATAATCACAAGAAATAATTTAAGACGCCTCTTCCTCTAGATTAAATCATGACTTCAAATTATTTTAAAAATGCAATCCAAATAAACAAACACTTATGATAAAAATCTACTTGTGCAAAATCTTTTTATGTAAATCGTTGAAATTTGATTGCCATTTTTCAAAATATTTTTAAGTCTTATGTTTTTATTTACTATTTTGCATATTCTTACGTAAATATGTTACTGTTTTGCTGATATATTTAAGAAGACAAGCACAGTATCCACTTTTTTTATTGCACTGACAAAACAAAATCTAACTCTTGACATTAAAGTAGTTTAACATGTTTACACCAAAATATGCGCGTATTCATGAATTCTTTAAAATTCATCCCACAACTGGCAATCACTGTCATTCTAGGCTGGAATTATCACACATAAAGTAAATGACAACAAATTTATGTATCAGAAGAACTTAGTACTTGGAATATATCTTTCTTTTCTGAAAAGTTAATCCGTGTCTCTTGTTTTCTTCACTTCCTGTTGATTGAATGACTTTTATCAGCAGGTTAACTATTTTTAATGATTAGGAAATAATTTGTAGCCATTGTATTACTTACTAACATGATAAGTAGCAAGTTTTCATCAATGAAATTTTACCACATGTTTCTGTTACCGGTCGGGAGTGATGACAAATACTCGCTGATGATAATGGCTAGGGGTTACCATATAATCAAAAATTGGTAGGAGTTGGAATTCATGAACCAGTGAGTTGGCTCCTAGTGGCTGAATGGTCAATGAGCTCGAACCCCAGTGGGTGAGTAGTGCCGATGAGTCCTGAACTCGGATGAAACAGCTGTCCAGTACCCTTTGCTGGTATTCCAGTGGTTCTTTTACTACTAATTACAAATGGTGATCAGACTTGAAACAAATTAAATACCTACAAGCTAACTCTTGGAAAATTATAATAATTATAATACAATACGTGATTTAAGCACGACCCCAACCATTGTCGTTGGTGGGACATCCATCCACACACGTGACTTCTAATTGGACCTCACTGGTCACGACTTCTCACTGGAACTCCAGGAAGCTCCAACCTGTAGCAAGTCACTAGCGAGCATCAGATTAATTTTCTATAGTTTGGTCTGCAAGGATTAGTTATGTTTTTTACGAGTTGATCGCTAGTGACTTGCTACAGGATGGAGCTTCCTGGAGTTCTAGTGAGAAGTCGTGACCAGTGAGGTCCAATTAGATGTCACGTGTGTGGATGGATGTCCCACCAACAACAATGGTTGGGGTCGCGCTAAAATCACGAATTGGTAGAAGTTAGAATTCATGAGCCATTGAATCGGGTCTCAGTGGCTGAATAATACAATACAAAATTTCATTATGGATAAAATTTTATTTTGATAAAGTCACACAGTGTGTTATCCAGTACTATTTACTGATGACCAAGTTTCGAGCACAAACTATTCCTCATGATCACATCAAGGTACTCACATAACTTTCTTGCTTGATTTATACACATGTGTAAAAGCTGATTAGGTATTTGAATAAAATCGATATAAGATAGAGTGCATTCGGAAATAATATTACTAGTGTTATCAATAAAATACAATAAGATGGGAAATAACATGTTTCATAGTAAAAATAGGTAACTTTTTAGACTGTTATAATGTAAATTGAATACACTTTAACATTATTTATTATCCTCTGATTTGACTAGTGTTAATAATATCTTCCATATCTCTGTTGCCTGAGTTGGGTTACCCATACTGCATGTGTTGGGTGTAGATTCGGTGAACCAGGCAGGATTCAGTAATCAACCTCTCTCTCCACCAACTACCTATATTACTTTTTAGAATTTCGAGTCTGTGTCACTCTACTGTGTGGTTGTGTGTTAATGCGCGTAGTGCGATTGCTGAGTTTTCCTACATTACTTACTTACCTTCGTGGAATCAGTCATTCTAACCTTAGCTAAATTCTTATGTTCCGTCATTCTGACTACCCCTGATCTACTGGTTTGACCTATGTAGTTGACCTCACTCACAGTCATTGCAAGGTATTTTGTAAATTATATTATTTTGTTTAATTGGGTCCACTGGGTCCTTTGTCTACAGAACTTGTCTCTGACTGAGTTTGTGGGTTTGAATGCCACTTTAGTTCCTGGTTTTTGAGAATCCTACGTATGGTCTCAGATGTGCCCTCCTTATATGGTATAACAGTAGATGCCGTATATTCTCTCTTATTTATATTATCATTATTAGTTTCCCCATTATTTTTATTTCGCTTTTGATCTTTTTTGATATTCCTGACGAATTTTATAGGATAGTTAGCTATTTAACATCAACGCCTATTCTATCTGTTTCATTTCATAATTTATCTTATATTGATTTCATTCAAATGTCTAATCATCAATTTTTACTCATGTATATAAATGAAGCAAGAAAGTTGTGTGGGTGTCTTGATATGATTATGAGCAGCAGTAATTTGTGCTCGAAACTTGGTCATCAGTAAATATTAGTGTACAGTTCTGTATGATTTTACCCAAATAAAATTCTATCCAGAATAGAGTTATACTCTACCACCCTGCCGACGTTTTATTCTTATATCAACCATGCAAAATTCTCAGCATAATTTCTCGCCAAATATTTACTTCTTCCCCACCCCCAATAGAATCCCCAAGAAAATATTTATAGTCAGTGCATCATATGACATAACATCATTTTATCTGAAATGAGACTCACTTCCGCATGACATTTCCTACTCACTGTTCATTGTGAACTGTGCACAGCAGTGGGTCTGAAGCAAATTTAAAAATTTGCTTGATTTCATGTCGCCATCTAAGGACACAATTGCAAGATTAGAATAATGAGAGATGGAAAAAAAGTAGATGAATTATGCTAGATAAAAGCTAAAGTGTTTAAGTAGAAAGCAAAAAACTATAGATGCAAATTAAATTATGATTATTATCATTCCCTTGGGTTCCAAATAGAACATAGGGCTCTTCAACAACACATCTCCATATCGTCCTGTTCTCTACAGTCCTCTTCAACTGGTCCCGCGATTTCCTATAAGCTGGTATCTACTCCTCATGTGATCTCCTTCACGTCACTCTTGGACAAACACTCAACTCGTCGTCGCCATTTCGAGTTCCATTCGAGAGCCGGTTTGGTGAGAAATGTCACCCGACGGTTTTTTCAACTTGTATCCGATATATCTTCGTTTTGCTGGCAAACATTTTTGAGTAATAGGTCCTTGATTAGTTCGTTCCCAGAGTTTCTTGTTGTAAATCCTTACTGGCCTGCTATCCAATCCTCAGTATGGAGTCATAGAAGGCAGCTGTTGATAAATGTTTTCAGTAGCCTGTTGCATATGCTTTTCGTGGCACGCCAAGTCACAACTTGATGCTTGACGTAAACGTAAAATGCGTATGCTTACACTGTTCACCTCTTTGAAACGCACTAAGTGATATTCATGGTCTTATGGTTCCTGATGAGATAATAAATTCGTTCATACAGACGGAATACCTGGAGAACTGAAAATTTGCTCATTCTTCTAAATTAATCACTGTGTCATACTTATAAGATTAATTATTAATGGATGTTTTCTGTATCAGTGGAGAGATCTGCACTGACGCATTACTCGAGACCCCATTGCTTCTTATTATTAAATAAATAAAATTAGGAGATTGCATCAAAAATTTAGCAGCAGCTGTACTAACAAATCTCGTTTGTGTTACTTTATTTTACCTTAGGAAATGGAGAAACATCAAGAACAATTACGAAGAGAACGTGAAGAGGTATGGGCATTGGATTTTTGTCAATTATTGTACGCACAAACTGATAATTGAGTTTTATTTATTGATAGTGTTTCCATAATCATTAAATTACAGTATCAGTTTGCTTTATTGATAGATTTTAACGAGAGAGAAAAACACATGGTTCAGTGATATAGGATCTTCTCGGCAAAATAACTTCCCTCTATAGCTCTACAGTCGTATTTATATACAGTATTTTCCATGAAAGAGGGTAGTAACAAAAGTGATGAGTTGTCAAAATCAATTCAAGTTAGTAGAAATCAATAAGGCTGTTACCATGATAACATAAGTGTTTAATAACTCCCTTTCGTATAAACAGCTCCAGTATGTCAATGTAAATTACTAGATCTTCAGCGGTGCAAGGGAGACGAGTGAGCATTGACTTTGGCAGGTTGTTCTTCACTTTGTAGATTACTCTGATGGAGGCGTTTGTTGAGAAGGGATGACCTGCGCTGACAAGGTTTTCGACTATCTCACGCCTTATAGAAGCACTAGTGCTTTTCTGCAACCACGCGTGATAGACAGCATCCGTGTCGAACAACCAATATACCTTGCTCCAAAAGAACAAGTGAAATGATATATTCACACAGAAGTGATCAGAAACTACCTTCTGACTATTACTTTCACCACCGTCTTTCATGAAGAAACTATACATAAGTGCGATTTTACAGCTAAAGAAAATGAATTCGCCGAAAAGTGCTTTTATCGTTGAACCACATATTTTTTTTCGTTAATGTCTGCATGGGGATTACTGAGAGATGGTGATATAGCTCACTAGCTTAAGGACTCAATTCTTAGCCACTCTGTCCTAGGTTCGAATGCGGTTGGAACTATTTTATCAGCCTGAGTTAGTGCATAGTATCCCTATGTGTTGCTCATATCCTGTTATATAACCTGTCATTTGCGGATTGCTGAATCACTGATATATGATGAATGGTTAAGGAAGACTTTTACGACCTGAAAAATACTCAGCAGTGAAAACAACAAAATGAATTGAAACAAATGCACTAAGTGTTTACCAAGATTACATTGGTTCGACCATGGATTAATATCATTTAGAAAACCACTGAAAGCCAGAGAGCCCCGGACAGCTGTTTCGTCCTGACTAGGGACTCTTCATCGTCATACAAACTTCAAACAAATCAGAACCCTACGAATAAACTCTTGAAAATTAAACCGTTGCTCACTAGAGACTGGCCACAGAAAAAAGTCAGCCGAAGTTTTCTTGAGGAGTCATAATCAATGGGATCCATCCGGTTTGGATTGTGCACACATACTCGCTGATGACACTGACTGGTTGTCACACTGAAAGTCACAAATCGGTAGGAGTTGGAATTAGTGGACTGCCAAGTCGGTTCCCAGCAGTTGAATGGTCTACGAGCAATCATTGTAACCAGAATGGCTTGGGTTTGGCTCCCGGTGGGTGCGTACCGCTGAAGAGTCATGAACAGCTCTCCAGTACTCCCTGGCTTTCAATGGTCCCCTAAATTATGTCAATCTGTGGTCACACTACAGGTTACTACAAAATATATATATGAATAGACAGTGCTAAAGTTTATCGATCTGTTTCATGATGGGTGCCAATAAAACCACAGAACAAACTCATTGCAATAGAGATTATTTTCCTCCCCTACTAATGGCACATTCGTAGCATTCACAATAAAAAGATGGGTGTTAGGAACACCTCTAGTGATTCCACTTATGTTTAACTTTCAGCATTAAGGGCATTTTCAGAATGATCTCAGTGGAAGGCATTACAAACTTTTTGACCACGTTTAATACATCGCTTTTCCCCACATTTTTCATTTATCTATCTAAATGAGCCCTGAGTGCCTTGCCTCAAGGTCATGTGACACAAATGTTTGGCTGTACTAGACCCCGTCCAATAATCGAATTCACAATTTGCAAATTAATTCCCAGCTTATAATTTATACAGTTCGGGAAGTTAAAATGTCAACGCAGTTTCCTTTAGAAACCAGTTTATTCACATTAAAATTTGTCATCTGTTTGATACCGTAGATGGTAATCAAGAAGGCAAGTATATTTTTGCATGAAACTATATACTACTGATTGATTGAGATGAGTAGTTGTATATCGCCACACATACCAACCAGTAGTGCTTGTTAGCCAAATCGAGTTGATCTGAACACTTGATGGTCGTTTCGCTTGTTTCAGAAGTGTGCCCAGCTTGAATGAGCCCAGAGAGCCGAATCGGTTTGAACTGTAGTGAGATTTTACCTCCTCACACCATATACATTGAAAATCGCCAACTGGATGAAAACATTCAGTTACCAGGGCAAGCAAAGACTGATAATCGCTTTTTATCTCTGAACACATAAATCGGGTTTCAGGTGCTTGATGGAAATTGCTTATGCAAACTTATGGAGAATTCAACTCTTTTGCATAGTGATAATTCTGAACGATCTTCAGACGTCCACCTAATGACCCGTGACAAAGAGATACTTGGCAATGGCAGTGTTCAAAGCATTCGTCCCCTTGAGACATCGGTTTTTTGGTACTTGCACTTAAATCGGAGGTATGCACTTCTTTCTGTTCTCCCAAGGTAACTGCTCCCGCAGATACATATAAATTTGCCAATAAAGTTTGAGTTAACATGAGAAGGCTGTAGACAGCTAGTCAGAAGTCAACGAAGCAAATAATAGTACCTCTTTATGCTGCACAAACTCGTGTTCTTGCCTAATCTAAATTCATAATGGGAAATAAATGTATGAAGAATACTTTTCACTTAATAAAACTACTTAATTCTATTTTTCACTTTTATTTCTGTTTTTTCAGGTTAAAAAGGCCAGAGCATCAAAACGACATGTGAGTACTCTTCATTTTTATTTCCCTACACTGGTATTTTTTGTAACTGAAAGTCATCTGTAAACAGGTACTGTCACACCTGACTAGACACCACCTTCTTTCAGAACTTCAGGAAATCCCTGTCATGACTAACTTCGAATAAATACGATGAACAATGAAAGTGTCTTTCATTAAGGTTTGTGGATCATGAGCAGTGATCACACACTATCACGTTAGGAACAAAAACTGCATAAATTTAGCAAAACTAAAAGTCCACTTTCTTAACTAGGTAACTAGGTTGCTGTTAACAGCACTGACTGGGAGTCATTTCTTCCACTAAACCATATTTAAGGACATTTCGAGAGGTAGAAACAAGTCCAACTCAAGATCGTGTGGTATGTCAAGTATTTCCCTTTATTTACTGATTATTTATGCTAACAGTCACTAAAAAGATTCTTGTAAGACTTGGTAAAAAAATTGCCAGATTTAAAGACATTCATTCTCTATGAACGGATAGCAATGGCTCAATGCATTATTATTGAAAAGAATAATCATAAACATTATCTTGAACTGGTTGACCCACTAGCAAATCAAAGATTTTTAGAATATACCGACGTGTTGTGAACAGCTAAATATAGAAGTATAAGAACAACGAAGCATTTTCGAGCATTTAACTTCCTAGATGATCAACCGCTGACAGTCCGCTGAAATACACTGAATTAGTCAGTCATCGAATTAAAAAGGGGAATTGTCAAGTTTTATCTCTCAGATAACACCGCCATAATATTCCCTTAGAACGTGTTGTAATAACAGAAGACAAGGGCCAGGCAACAGATCGTTTATTAAGGAAAATCAACACATATTCATAGATTTTAATGTACATTATTGTAGATTATTGTTAGTAGAAAATACAGTCTTTTGATTGGTTGTTTCTCACAGAAAGTTAACCTTGCATCTCTTTGTGACTGTGTCAGATCATCAATATGCTAACTGTATCCGCCTACACAAATTCTTTGTCCTCATTTTCTCACCACCAATATTGGGGATATAAACATTGACGTCAATTACTGTCTACCAACTTTGGCTAGCAGCCAGCTCTCACCACAGTGTATGTGTGATAAAAAAAAGTGTGACCTTACAACCACTTTAACCTTTTTCTACAGTATGAATAACGATTAAAACTATAAAGGGCAACTCTAAACAATAGGAACCCAAAACGAAACGATCTACGAACGCACAAATGACCTTGTCAAGGACCAATCAGAAGGCCTAAAAAACGACAATAGTCGTCCCAGGCAGCACTAAGCGCCAGATAATAGGCAATAATACATATGCCCTGCGCTTAGGGGTCGCCTCAATATGTCCTTTCTAGGGGCTGGTGTCATATATCCCCAAAACCTATTGCTGGAAAAAACAGTCACCTGATCGGTTGCTCATGGTCATTTGTGCGTTCGTAGGTCGTTTCGTTTTGGGTTCCTATTGTTTAGAGTTGCCCTATAAAGTTATAAAAACATCAAAAGACTGACATCAGTGAACAAAGAATATGCTTTCCGATAAATTCATCATCAGGTTCTGCAATTTTATGACAGTAATAATTATGAGATATTCTTAGTAACAATATCAATGCTGTTGTAAATTGCATTAAATCAATAATAATATCGATAGATTACATTTCAAAAGCATCAGCACCAGAGTGAGTTACCTGAGGTTCTAGTGGGAAGTCGTTAACAGTAGGTTGAAGTAGGTTGGGTGTGAAGACACATACTCGTCGAAGACATTGGCTAGCGGTAGTGCTATGTCGCGAATTGGCAGATAATATACATTAGTATAACACTAAACTGAATGAATCTCAGATAAATTAAGGGAGGTGACACTGAATTTATGAATTTATATGTTCAATAGCAGGCCATCGTAGCAATAGTGGCTGAATTTGTTTCTTTTGCACTCATAATTCCTGTTGATTTAAACTGATTGCAGAGTTCCTGCCTTTTTGGAGTGTTCGATATTTGGGGGCCTTGAGCAATTTATTCAGTATTCGATAGATGATAGAAAAAGATTCTTAAGTACTAGCTTCATGGCGTGTTTTATTACTACCATTACTCCCTTGGGTTCCGAGTGGAACATAGGGCTTCAACAACACATCTCCACTTTGTTCTATTTTCTGCTATCCTCTTCAGCCAGGTCCACGGTTGCCCATAATCTCTCATCTCCTCCTCCAACTCACATGGTCTCCTCCTTGTCACCCTCGTGCTGACGATCCACACGTCGTTTCCCATTCGGGTTCCACTCGAGAAATGGTCTGCTGCGCGATGTCACTTGACGGCCTCCCCCAACGTATATCCAATCCATCTCCATTTTTTTCCTACGTATTTGTTGATCAATAGGCTCTTGGTTAGGTCGTCACCATCCAGAGTATCTTCTTGCTAATTCTTTCTGGCCAGCTTGTCATTTCATCTTCAGTATGGAGACAGTGAAGGCAGATGTTGATAAAAGTCTGCCACTAGCTGTTGGAAATCCTTTTCGTGAAGCGCTAAATGGCTTGTTTAGACGAGGTGATCTAGTACAGGACTGTTGATGGTTTTGACATTATCATTTTTTAACCACCCTGGTAGATGTTCCAGAGCACACACAATTAAGTTCCCAAAGTAACGGCCAATATAAATGGCTGTACAGAAGCATTTGAATTGATAGATAGAATTAGAAGTGGCTAACTTAGGTATTTCATCTCTCAGTTTTGAAATTATAACCGGTCGTATGGAAAATGTAAGCTACAGCTTACTGGCATTAAACGTCCTTTCAACCTGTTGGTTATTATTTCATTCGGTAAATCACCTTTGAATTGTAGCTTTGTGGTCTTTTTGGACGAGGTTCATTAATCAATCTTTTAAAATCATCTAATAAGCATCTTTAATCAATTACAAAAACAGATCGCTTTTTTGTGTCACACTGTAAGAGGCTCAGAATTCTCTTCTTTTAATGAAGTGTTATATATATATACCTGTCAAGATTATGATTACTGCTCATTATATTCTTTCCTTTCTATATATATTTGTTTTTTATCTGTTTATGAATATAGTCGAAGGTGAATGCAGATCAAGATGCCAATAAAAATAATCAAGCCAGAAGAATGACTTATAGAAAACAAGGACTTGGTGGTATGAGTAGAGAACGCAGAAAAAAGCTAAAGGTATTTTCTGTTATCAAATTGATTGGTTCAAATATATATGTATATATATACATTGAATATTTTCGCAGTTATCTGAGGTAGTTATACAGGTAGAAGGATTGACAGCAGCAAACTGAATGATAATTCAGAGGAAAAGAAAAAATTTCCTTTCTTCAGAATCTGAATCAGAGACCGCCGGACTACCCCAAAACGTGAACTCTATCTATCAGATACACGAATAATGAGTTTCAAGTTTTCTCATGGATTGATATCAGTTGGAGAAACAATGAGAGCCACCAAGGAGTACTATAGACAACTGTCTCGTCCTATTTTTTGGAACTCTTCACCACTAGGGCTCGAACCCAAGATTTTCTGGTTATAAGGCAAGCTGCTAGAACATTCAGTCAGTGGGACCCGTCTTTATTAGATAACTGTTGCTGTCTTGACTTTTCTGAAATTTAGCAACTGTTAAATTTGGTCTTCAGTCAGTAGCAGTCCCACAGTTATATTACATCATCACCAGAAATTTCAATGACCATCAACTGGCTAGTTATTCTACTAACAAACATCATTAGTTTTAGCGCTAAAATCTAATTTTAACATCGTTTCGTTAATCACTGTATTTGTGGAACCTTTTTAAACGTAAATAAGTTCCAGTTAAAAAGATCAGAGTGGTAATTTGCAAATTTAGAAAAAATCCCCATTCAGACATTTGGAAAACAGAAAGATTGAGCCGGAATGTGACAAATAATTTTAAATGCAGTATCACGTAATCCAGGAACGGTTTCTTCAAATGCTCAGGGAGCTCGTCCACAGCATAGAACCATTCTGTGACATTCTTTGACAGTTTCGTAGTACATGATTTGAGTGAGTCAGTCTGATTCAATGCATGACGCTTGAGTGTCTTACTATTTGGACGAACTCTGCTACGTCGTACAGACTTCCAATAGGATTTAGGATATTGGTTTCTCTCAAAGCATTCAAATTCAACTGGAATTTATAAAATTATGGAAGGTAAAACCTCACTGCATCTTCTTTTAGAAACCTAAATTATTCCGATAACAATATATAATCTTCTTGATACCATAAATAGTAATCGAGAAACCGGTCATAAATGCATAGAAATATATACCACTGACTTACTGAGACTTACTGAGATCAAAGTGACCTAAACACCGAATAATGATTCCATTCGTTTCGAGCCCAGCTTATCAGTGGTGTGCTTGGTTTCACTCAGCTCAGAGAATCAAATCAGTCCGAAACACCTGATTTCTGGCTAGCTACTTCAGAGAAATGGTGAGACTACAAATCAAATTCTCAGTTAAAAAGAGACCGAAAGTAGATAATTTTGACCATAAATATTACCTATTCCACCTTACGTCTTCTTATAAACATGAAAGCCAAATCTTTGTGACTTTCAGCAGTCACATAGTTAACATCGGCCATTTTTGTTTCGTGTATAAAGTCTGAAGGCAATGCAATGTATTGAAGAAGAAACTTGATGAAAAGTGAACTTTTTTGACCTGCCCAAACCACTTGAATAACTACATTATTACTAATTCCTTGGGTTCAGAGTGTAAAGAGGTCTTCAGCAGGATGTCTCCGTCTTGTCCTGTTTTCGTAGTCCTCTTTATTGGCTCCACAATTTCACATAAACCTTCACCTCCTGCCCAAACGATCTCCTCCAATTCAGCATTGGGCACACGCCCATCTCGTCGTTTTCCATCCGGGTTCCACTCGAGGACCTAAACCACGATGTCGACCAACGGTCTGATCAACGTGTGTCCGATCTACATCCATTTTCTTCTTTCTACATTTCTGTTAGGCAATAGGTTGTTGGTTGTTTAATTCCCAGAGTTCGTTTTTGCTAGCATATCCCTTGAGGCTGGTCATCTGATCCTCAGTATGGAGTCAGCCAAGGCAGATGATGAACATCTGTATTGGCCTGTTGCAAATACTTTTGTGAAGCGCGCACCACGTTTCTGACACATACAGAATAACTAAGTGGCTTAACATTGGTGTTGAAAATCCGAATTTTGTTCTTCATGCTCACTGAGTGCTACACATTTTCAAACTGATTTCACAGCGACGAAGGTCTACCTTGCTCTTCCGATCTTGATTGGTTCTCAGATCCTCATCCATGCTGTCGCCTGTAGTTAAAAATGATGCAGACTGTATCAGATAAGTGGGGGAAGTGACCTCTTTCAAATTCATTTCGCTGATAGTGATTGATGCCTAGTGTTGTTGGTTGGTTATCTTCATCACCTGCAACTTTTCTACGTTCAGTTGAAGTCCTGTCCCTGAGTTTACTAGTTCGCTAGTTTTCTAGACGATCTTAGGCCCAGAAAAAGAGGGAAGGTTGGGTGAGAAACTGGCTAACCTATGCCAGGAGTTCAGTTCAGTTGCCACAGAAACTTCAAAGCACAACAGAAATAGAAAAAAACCAAACTTATTCCTCTCTGGAATCAGAAAGACAAAATGATTTCACGCGGTGGTGAAAGCCCTCGTGAAGCTAGTCAACCAATGAATGAATGAAAGTAAAAAATAAGCATTGATACGTAGAATATTTGTACAATATACGAAGCTGGGAAGGATGCTCAGGTCACCGAAGAAATGAGAAGATACAGCAGAGAGAAGCTAGTAATCTGCGATAAAAGGTAGAACAGATGTGGGCTCTTCAAATTGTTAACTGAAGTCAATAATCTACCTCTGTCACTCAGAATTACTATACTCATTTGGATTTCTAGACATTTGAGTAACTTTGACTTCTCATGTTAAACTTTGAAAACATTTACTACAAAGTGATAAAGATAAGGCCAAAACTTATTTTACTCACACTAGTAACAAAACCACTACTCAAGAGGTATTCAAATTACTGAAAAATCAAATGTCCTCCAGTTTACCTATTCAAATTGTTTTTGCCTTATTTTACCACTTTATTTTGTCAGTTTACAATGGAAAATATCACCAAAACACTAGACACAAAAAAAATCAAAATTTACATGAACCACTCAACTTTTCGAACGAAAAATAAAACTGTTTTAATAGTTACTCTAATTTCATTTCTCCCTCTTCAATTGATTGGCTCTTTTTTCAACTGTTATTTAAAAATAACAAGACTTTAATCAATGTACAGAACATACTGTGGTAGTGTTCATCACTCGTAGTGTAAACTGTGTTTGTTATAGTAACGATAATAATAAGTATCATAATAGTAATGACAGTCGTCCCCACAGAACAGATATAACCCTGTCTACAGGGAAGAGAGATGACAAAACCATTTACTATCTGTTAGGTAACTTTATTTAATGAATGCATATTCAACACATCCAATCTGCATAAACAATCAGCTGATGAGCTGATTTCTTTACCAGATATTGTTACTTGATACATTGCAAATAGGTGAGGAAGGGAAGAATAAGATTGCTGTTGGCATAAATGACAAAAAATGTAGAAATGATGAAGGGGAGGAGGTAAAATAACATCAAATTAGTTAAAAAGGAAATTAAATAAATGACGTAAGCCAGCAGAAGAAGTTCCATTTATATTATTATTATTGTTGTTCCCTTGGGTTCCTAGTGGAAAACAGGGCTTCAACTGCACGCCTCCACTTGCTTCTGTCTTCTGCTGGACTTTTCACTTGCATCCATGTTAATCCATACTGTTTCAGTTCCTCATCACACGATCTCCTCCATGTCACCCTTGGACGTCCCACTCGCCGCTTCCCTTTCGGGTTCCACTCGAGGGCCTGACGCGCGATGTCACCCAGCGGCCTCCTCAGCGAGTGTCCAATCCATCTCCACTTTCTCCTGCATATTTGTTGGGCGATTGGTTCCTGTTTTGTTTGTTCCCATAGTTTCTTGTTGGTTCTTGTTCTTTCCGGCCATCTGATCTTCAGTATAGAACGAAAACAGTTGTTGATAAAGGCCTGCAACCTGTTGGAAATATTCTTTGTGACCCGCCAAGTTTCTGATCCGTATAGCAAAACTGACTGACTTCACGTTTGTATTGAAAATCCGAATTTTGTTGTTGATGCTGAGTGACGAAGATTTCCAGATTGGTTTCAGGTTGATGAATGTGTTTCTCGCCTTCCTGATTCTCGATTTGACATCCTCTTCCGTTCCTTCTGCAGGTGACACAATGCTCCCTAGATAAGTGAATGAAGTAACCTCTTTCAAATCCCTCCCGTTGATGGTGATTGGCACTGAATTTTGCTGTTGTTGCTGTTGTTGTTGTTGTTGGTTGGTTATTTTCATAACCTCTGTCTTGTCTATGTTCACCTGGAGTCCTGTCTTTGCTGCTTCTTCGACCAGTTTGTCGGCTTTCGCTTGTAAGTCTTCGATTTTGTGTGACATCAAACATAAACCATCCACGCGCGAAATCCAGGTCTTCTAGGTTCTTCGCGTCGGTCCAGGATATCCCTGTCTTCTCGTTTCCCACTGTCCGACGCATAATCCAGTCCACCACAATTAGGAATATCATTGGTGATAATAAGCACCCTTGTCTGACTCCTGTGTTTACTCCAAACACTTCGCTGAGTTTTCCGTTGTGAATCACTTGACATGTGCCGTTGTCGTACAGCTGTTGAATAAAGTTGATGAAGATTTGGGGTACGCCGTAGTACTCGAGTAGTTTCCAAATTACTTCGCGGTCAACGCTGTCGAAGGCCTTCTCAAAGTCTATAAAGTTGAGGTAGAGATTTGATTGCCATTCCATGCTTTGTTCGATGATGATGCGTAGAGTTGCAATTTGGTCAGAACATGATTTGCCTTTCCTGAATCCAGCTTGTTCTGGTCGGAGTTCTGTATCCAGTGCGTCCTTTATTCTCTCCAGGATGATGCGACTCAGGATTTTACTTGGCGTCGACAGAAGCATGATTCCTCGCCAGCTCTTGCAGAGTCCTAGGTCGCCCTTCTTTGGTAGTTTCACCAGGTAACCTTTCCTCCAATCAGTAGGCACCTTTCCCTCTTTCCAGATCTTTTGCAATAATGGAATCAGCATTTCTGATGTCGTTTCTGGGTCCACTTTCAGTGCTTCCGGGGGTATTCCATCTGGTCCAGCTGCTTTTCCAGCTTTCAGAAGCTTGATTGCATTCATGACTTCAGTTTTCGTTGGAGGGTTGGTGTCAACTTGCAGTTGTGTACGTGCTGTTGTTGGTATTTCTGGACGGGTTGTAGGTGGTGGTCGGTTCAAGAGTCCTTTGAAGTGGTCCGCCCATTCTTTAATCTGTCTTTCTTCCTTGGTAATTGGGTTCCCTTGGCTGTCTTTTATAGGTTTCACTAAGTTCACTAAGTTCACCGAAGTTCCATTTAGTTAAGATATATTTAAATGAAATGGAAAATGTGGAGATGGAATTCATAATCAAATTGAAATGCTACGCATCATAACAGAACAAAGCATAGAATGACAGTGAAATCTTTACCTGGACTTTCTCGACTTTGAAAAGGCCTTCGATAGAGCTGGGTGTGCAGTGATTTGCAAACTGCTTCACTACTACGGAATACCTCAAACCTTTATCAACTGCATTCAACAGCCATATGATAGTGCCACATATCAAGTGATTGCCACAATGGAAAACTTAGCTAAGCCTTTGAAGAGTAAGACATGGCTGACTACTATCACCTACGATGATATTCCTAATTGTGATTGATTTCAGGGAGCAATAAAATAGGAATATTTCGGACCGGTAAAAAAACTGTAGAAGATATGGGCTTCCTAAACGATTTATTTTTAACGTCACACAAACTCGAAGATTTACATGTGAAAACCAAAAGACTGTCAGAAGAAACAGCAAACACGCGAAATCTAACAAACATATAGAAGACAGAGGTGATGAAAATAACCAACCAACAACAACAAGCACCAACCAGGCACCAATAGGAGAAGTTTGAAAGAGGTCGCATCCTTCGCTTATCTGACACAGTCTACATCGTTTTAACTAGAGGCGATAGTGCGGGTGAAGATATCCAACCCATTCAAGATAAGAAAGACAAGGCAGACCTTCGTCAATGTGAAATCAGTTTGTAAATCTTCCGCACTCAGTACAGGGGACAGGATTCAAATTTTCAACACAAATGGGAAGTCAGTTCTTCTGTGTAGGTCGGAAACTTTTTGGTGCGCATCACTAAAAGTATTTGCAACAGGCCACTACAGATGTTTATCAACAACTGCCTTCGCTTGCTCCATACTGAGGACCGGATGGCAGACCACGAGAGATAGGTGAGTAACAACAGACTCGAAACGTTATCGAATATGACCAGGAATCGTTATCAATGGTGAACGTGTTGCAATTTCCTTCTTTCTTCCCTTCCTGATGATAGTTAATGAATACTGTTTGAACTTGTTAAACATGACTGTTTTCCTTCCAGATGAAGTTCTTTATCCGTTCTCTCCCTATATTTTTACTTTTAATCTATGTTGTTTTATTATTATTTTGTGGCGCATCTTTCTTGGTGCCATATTGTACCAAGTTTTTTCTGCGTTTAATAAAAAATAAATAAATAAAACTCTGGGGACTAACCAACCAAAAGCCTATTGCCTGACAAACACGTAGAAGAAAATGGAGACAAATAGGGCACACGTAGATGAGGTTGTTGGGTGACATCATGAGCCAGACTGCTGCTCTAGTGGAATGCGGATGGAAAATGACGAGACGGGCGTGTGTCCAACGATGAGTTAGAGGAGATCGTTTGAGGAGGAGATGAAAGCTTATGTGGAATTGTGGAGCCATTGAAAGAGGACTAGAGACAGCATGGTGAGATGCAGATGTTCTGCTAAAACCCTGTTTTTTACTCGGAACCCAACGGAACAATAGTACAAATACATTGTTTTGAGTCTAAGAAGTAGTCATTTTGTACGTTACCACTGACCTATTTGTGCCTGACTGAATGGTGTAGTTTATCATCATCAAAGAAATATTGGCTCCTTCCAATTTACAGACACGCCTTGCTGACGCCTTTACGATGAGCATGATACCTAGGTAGAGGGCATTCTCGTCATTTACTTTCAGCCATCTAATAACAGTGAATTTTTACAGACTATGTAGGAGCTTTATAAACACCTTTACTTCACAATTCCTTTATTATTTGTGAAATCAAATGTAGAAGCTTCATGTTTCGCATAAAAGAATCATTTAGTGACTTTTAGCCTAAGAAATTACAGCTGACAGATGAAAAACTACCAAACACTATCAAATTTTGAATAATCAGTTTATTTTCTTATAACACCTTCAAAGACTTAACTCTTGAATATTTCAGTGAGAGATAAGCATGCTTCTATTTTATGCCTTGGTCAAACTGTCGATAGCCGCAACACCAGTCTTAGCTGAAACTGTCAGCCAGCCTAATTGCCTCTATTGGAATTTGGATTTTGCCATTTAACATCATATATTGATTGATGTGAAATTGAAAGTTCACTCATAGCGAATAAAATTCTTCAGTTTCTAAATTTCAAAGCAGACCAAAGGCTTTCATAAGTAGCAGTAACTGATATTAACCCGTCACCAACTGATATGACTTCATTAACAGTTGATACGACCGACAAGGACTTAAACTGAACGCGATGGACAACTCAAATGAGATATTCGATACGCCTATTCGTCCTTAGTACCTTCCTCTTCACTGAGTCACGTGAATATCAAAAAATTAAAGGCTGTCCTGTGACTATTAGGATACAGACGGCGGACCAACGATGATAACGATAGGGAAGATAAAAACACACAGGAATAGTGTGATTATCATTAATCAAACAAAATATATGGTATGTGTAGATTACAAAACCTCAGGAACTGAAGCCATAAATTAAACAAATCTGAATGCCCTGTCAAGGACAAGGGTTGAGAAAACATGATGAAATTTTACCATAAGATCAAAGGTTATCCGATCCACAAGATGAATTCTGCAACCGCTGACTTCAAATATTGACTACTGTTTTTTAGCTGCTTCCTGTCAGTAATAGTTTTATTTCTGAGTGTTGGTCCAAAATTTTTAACAGATATTTTAGATAAAAAGTCTAACCAGCGAAATTATAATCAATAATGAAATTGCGTTATTACTATTAAAAGAAAGTCAATGCATTCCTAGTGCGTCGGTGGCATAACGGTTAGGACGATCGCCGACCATGCATATGGTTCGGGATTCGATCGCCGGCCGACGCACTCCTTTACCTCGCTAAGCCAGAAACAATGCTGGTGAATAGGAAAGGTTCGGCATGGGGTTAGCAACCACATCCTGTAAAATAAACACTGCTACGGAAACTTCAAGCCACTAGCTTGAAGCCCTATGTTCCACTGGGGAACGTGAAGGAAAAGAAAAATGCATTTCTTATAATCTTTCCACATTTCTACATTTATTATTATTATTAACAATGTAATGTCTTCACAGAAAGAATTAATGCTATCCAACTTCTTATACTTTCTTCCAATTTTTTTAACCTCCGTCTAAAGGAAATGATAATGCAAAAGGCGAAAGATGAACTCCTTGAAGAAAGACGCAAAGAACTTCACAACAGAGAAGATCATATCAGGAAACGAGCACCTCCATTCGATATTGATGGTTTAAACGAAAGTAAGATATTAAAAAAACCGACATGTTCTTAAAACTTATTTCTGTTTACTTTAAGTTGGTTGACTTATTCTACAAATCATTATTAAGAATCAACTTTGTCAATAGTCGTAAGTGAAATTCAATAACGAAGTTAAACACACCAGAAATCTCAATAACATCGGAGAAGTGTTGTACATAAGTTTGTTTGAGAAAAAGTGAATTTTTATCAAATGACTTCAAGGTTGATATCTTCATAAACTGACATCAGTTAGAGGATCATTTAAAACTAGAAAGCAGTGGTTAACTGTTTCGTCCTGGTTTGAGACTTTTCAGCCGCAGTCGGCTATGTATGGTCCAACTCACTAGTTGAGTATCAAAGACCTTGCCTAGTAACCCGGAGATATTGGATTCGATCCCTAGTATTATCATGTTTGCTTACTGATGAAGAGTTGTGAACTAGGACGAAACAGTTTCCCTTAGTTTTCAAGAGCTCGTTAACTAACTCCGCTTTACAATGAGATCTGCTTTGAAGTTCATCAAATCTTCCCGAAATTGAATATATAAAAATATCAAGTAACTGCTTATAAGTGGAAATTTTATTCAAAATGCCTTTAAAAATACTGTTGAGTACTTTTGAAACAGTAGTAGTTTACTAACCTAGTTTACAATATGGGAATATATCTGTTTATGCATGAGTTTAGTAATACTACTCACTGAAATACAATGGATGAATGTTTTACCATGAATAAATAGATAAATAAACATGAAACACGTTCTACAGAATGAACTCAGACGACTGACCTTTCTGTTGCTTATCATTTACAGAATGATATACAACGGTGTTACACTTGTAGCGTGATTATCTCAGCATTTTATCTTGGTATTATTTCAAAACCTATTTGATAAGACATTCAGATATCCAGCCACAAGATGGATAGAACAAGGCAGAACCTTGCACAAAAATTCATCTGCTCAATGCTATTGTTCCATTGTGGGATATAATACAACAAGGTAGTTGACATCAGTAAAATACCACCATGAGAAGGAAGGGAACAGGTGAATGCAGGAGCTCCTTCAAGATTGCAGATGAGAGTTGCTGACCACTGTCTATGAGCACGAAACCTAGGTCCAACGCTTCTCCTCACAATTTCCTTCAACCAACCAACCAACAAAAATTCAGTTACAGAGTGAAAGTAAAACAGCATAATGAGTAAACAATCGTGTCATAACAATGCACTCCAAGCGTGTAAAGTTATTCTTCGTCTACAGTAGAAATGTCTCACTGTATTCAGTAGTGTCAAGATTTAAATTTCCCGTCATTTCAGTACCTCATAATCTTATTGAACAGATTTCTTTTAGAACAGATTCGTGAAGAATAAGGTAAATTTAATTAACTAAGCTAGTTTTTCACTACTTGTGTGTGCAACAGACACAAGTATTACCTTTTTTTAATCTCTTGACACAAATTTACTTACATAAAATATGTGAAGCAAAGTTTTAGAATTTTCTAAAGGAATTATAATGGGCTACTTGAATCATATTACAAATATACCAATTTACATTTTTGCCTGCAACTGTTTTACCACTCAAATTAACCACAGTACATAAAGCGTGTGTGTGTGTCCGTCGTTCAACAGTAGAGTCTCCGCCAGCCATCCAGAAAGGTCAGCTCCCATTGCAGGCTAATGCACTCCGAAACCTCTCCTAGTTTACTAGCCAGTAGTAAGCTCAGAAAAGAGGGATGGTTGGGAGTGGTGCTGGCAGTCAAACCGATTGTAAAGAAGCAGCACCATCGCCACTGAAACTTCAAAAGCTTGAATTCCTATGTTCCACTCAGAAAGCGAAAATTGAGAGAAAAACAAATACCTCACCATAGATCCTTGAAAAATGATGAAACATGAGAGTGTTTCCCCCAACTCTTTTCCGTGTAACTGAATTATTTGATTGGTATTCATCCTAGATGAGAATAACCCTAGAAAACAGAAAGATTGAGCGAAGAAATATTTACTTTTCAATTAGATCCTCTTGTCACTCTGGCTCTACTATAATATATATAGCATTTTTATTACAATACACAACAGTTTACCAAATAAGTAACGATATGTTTGGTAATAATAATTAAACAGTGTCAAAATGTCAATGGGTTGATAATTAACGAAGAAAATCAATACACATTTGAAAGGTAGAAAGGGTTAGAATAAATTAATTTTACAAGGATAACACGTAAATAAAGATGAAGTGGTCAGAGAAAAACATGTGGACAATTATAATTTTTATAGTTTTTAAAGGTTTACGGGGAGGGGGGCGACGTAGTCCTGTTTATGCACTCTTGTAACAATGGCCACGGTAAGGAAAGTGGCTGTACAAATTTCTTCTGAACACATAGGCTTGGCTTCTTAAGGTGGATTCCGATTGCTTCATCTGTCTGTAGAAGACGAACTCGTAAAGCAAAATTAAGGTTAGGAGGAATGCGGTAAATAGTTTTAAATGCAGTATTAACGTCAACCTTATGCTCAGTATCAAGAAGGTGTGCTAAAATAGAACCACGAATAGATCTTGTTTGTCCCTTGCTTAACCACGTTGGATGATGCTCGGAAATACGACGATGAACCTGCCTAATTGTACGCCCTATGTAGCTGGCTCCGCAGATGCAGTCAAACTGGTAGATACACATAGAAGAGGCAAATTTAGGTAGTTTATCCTTATTTCTCGAACATAGAATAGGGGTGGTTGTGAAGAGACAACGTACCTCTGCCGCATAATAAGCTCTTTTAACTGCATTCTTCAAGCGTTGTGTTAATATTTCGCTGATGTTGTCACCGAGGAACTGAAATTTTATGAACATTGGTTTTTTCGGAACTGTAGCAATACTGACTCTCCTTGGTACTGATATCATATTTTTCTCAATGAATTTATCTGGATAAGCATTTTCTTCCAAGTAATTCTCTAATAATCCTAAGCTTCTCATTGAGGCAGTCGTCTGAACAGATTAACCTAGCTCTATGAACCAGACACTTTACCAGGTTACGTTTATATTTCAAAGGTACAAAACTCAAAAAATGAGTGTACTGACCTGTTGTTCTAGGTTTCCTATACACACTCCTTCTTAGTGTGCCATCTTCTTTCCTTGCCATGAAGATATCTAGGAATGAGATACTGTCATTACTTTCTTTCTCTATGGTAAATTTTATTGCTGAATGTGCATCATTAAACTTGTCAAGGATGTTCATTGCATCATTCTCGTCTTTCATAACCAGAAATGTATCATCCATGTATCGACAGTAGAAATCCATGTCATTAATTACTCCTTTCAGTGGTCCATTCTCTAATTTAGCGAGGAAAAAACAAGCTAGAATTGGAAGAATTTTTGTTTCCTTCAACCTATTTTTTCAAACCTATACTACTATAAAATAAACTTATATTTCTCTTCGTATAATTTAGATCAACTCCAAGAAAAGTTGAAATCATGGCATACATATATTAAAGATTTGGAATCACAGAAATATGACTGGGAGTTAAGATTACGCAAACAAGACGAAGAAGTAAGTCATAAATACATCGATATATATATATATATATATGTACATCAAATTAAGCAGTTAATAATATTGTGAAATTTATGAAGCTTAGTAGAATAAACAGAGTGTATAGTCAGCTTAAGCTTAATTAATATGAAGTTTAGAATTTGGTTATCCCCTTAATTTGAGTGATGCACCACGCGAACCGCACCCCAAACCCTTATCAACCTTATTCCACATATCGGGTGATCTCCATAATAGGAAACTTAGAGAATTCTTTGAAGCAAGGATAGGAGTGAGACATGATAGCCTACCATCACCTACGATGATAATCCTAATTGTAATTGACTGGAGGCAGCAAAAATAGGGATATGCTGGACCGACAAGAAAACTGTAGAAGATATGGACTTCGCGACTGATTTATTTCTAATGTCACACAAACTCAGAGATTTACATGTGAAAACCAACAGACTGGCAGAAGAAGCAGCAAACACAGCGAAGACAGAGGTAATGAAAATAACCAGCCAAATACAACAGGCACCAATCAAGCATCAATGGGAGAAGTTTGAAAGAGTTCACTTTCCCCGCTAATCTGACACAGTCTGCATCGTTTTGACTACTGGCGACAGTGAGAGTGAGGATGTGAGAACCAGTCAGGATGGGAAAGTCAAGGCAAACCTTCGTCAAACGTGAAATCAGTTTGGAAATATGTTGCCCTCAGTCAGCATGAAAAACAACGTTCGGATTTTCAACACCAATGTTAAGTAAGTCAGTTCTTCTATATAGTGCAGAAACTTGGTGCATCACGGAAGACTTTTTAACAGACTGTAGACTTTTATCAACTGCTGCCTTCACTGGTTCGATAGGAAGATCAGATGGTCAAAAAAGATTAGCGACAAGGGACTGCAGGAATGAACCAACCAAGAGCCTAATGCTCAAAAATATATGGAGAAGGTAATGGAGATGGATTGGACATACTAGTTGATGTGTGTGAGACTGCTGAGTGACATCAAACTCCTGGTAGTAGACTGGAATATGAACGGGAAATAACGAGTTGGTCGTTGATCCAGGGGTGACATGGAAGAGATCGTGGGAGAAGGAGGTGAAAGGCTATGGACAATCGTAAAGCTAACTGAAGACGATTGCAGAGAACATGACAAAATGGAGACGTGCTTTTGAAACCCAATGTTTCCCTGGGTACCCGAAAAAATAATAATAACCAAGTGAATGAATGACGTAGTTATACTGCTCACCATCCCATGTACCAAAATTTGATAATTGCCAGACAATTGGTTATAGTATGCTTAGAGCCGGTTGTTAACCAATTATGCGAAACGATACCATCTGACCACATAATTGCACAAATTTTGTCACCATCTTTCAGCTGCCATTTTCAAATAAAGATCAGAATGTTGGTATCTACTTGTCACTAGGAGCTATAACTACCAACCTGGATTCCTAATTTTAAATCAATAGATTAGGATTCCCAACCACTCTACCTTTGACTAGGTTTATGAAGTGATGTCATAAAATGTAGATAGGACTGAAGGTGACTACCAACATGACTTACCAGCTTATCTGAAATAAAAGTCTAAGGCTGAGGTGGATGGAACTACTGAACTGTATACTATAATAGATTCACGACGATTACTTTGTTAATGATAAGTGACATTCTCAGTTTAACATAAACCTGACTCCAAAGTTTTAGGTCTCAGATTTCTTCTGATTTCAGACTGTGTCAAGTATTTTACAGGGAAACTCTAGACATCTTTTTCAAACTTTACGGGTCTTTGTTAACAAGGTGTATTTTAAATTTAGATAGATCTGATGTGTTGAGTGAAATTCGAGCTTACAATATCCCGTGATACATCTCTGGGCATGATTCTGTATCCAATAGTTTGTTTGTTGAGTTTTTGCAAGGATTGATTAACTTCAACTGCAAAAATACTTGAAATTAAGGAGTATTAGATAGTCTTATCCTTCCATTATGGGATTTTTGAGTAGTGCGCACCGTTTGAAATCATTTGTTACACATTTCAAATATTTATTCCCAATAATTACGCCATACAGTTTTTTGGTTCATATCCATTTTTCTTTTAAGTGCCAGTTTATAAAGCGTACACTGAATTAATGTCCATTTATTTCCTTTCCTCCTTATGTAGATTAATGACTTGACAGCCCAACTATGTGCTATCAAAGGTCACTTGTAAGTCTAAAATTATTGTCAAATCAAATTAACTTCATTCTGTTGCTTTTTTCGAAATTTACTCACTTGAAAAATTGCGCTTAATTCACCCGTGTAAAGTATTAACTGAGCAAATTCTCAGGTTATCCTTCTTGTGATATATTTCCTATAGAAACATATTTTCTTGATTCACACCCTGTTATCAGCATCTTCAAGTAGTACAGGATGCTAATCAAAGAGGTGTCGCAGATTAATATATTTTTTTAAATTATGAGTAATAATCGCTGAATACTGATAGGTAGAGCTCCTCAACTTCTACTGTTACTTTAAATGTTTCAATGGAGTGTGGTACATAGACAATATTCTAACAAACAGAACAATACTGTGTTGTACCATAAGTAGTGTTAAACACCAGAGGCTAGTCCCCATAAAACTACAAAACTCAGCTTTATTGCTGCCAACAGCCGTCCGTAATATGTATTTGCAGCTCCGGCTGTAATATCTCCGATTTGAACAGTGAATTTCTCACTGACTCACTGTCATTTTCAAACATTGAAGGAGGTTGAAGTTTTGAACTACCGATGGATGACTAAGTTAGTTTGATTATTCTGATCAAGATTTGTAGGTGTTTAATGACAGATATGGCGGTGCTTAAACGTACACGCATCCACAAACAATCAGGGAGACGCTCGCAAGAATGTTTAGGAAGTGAGACAAAGGTAGTGCAAAACGTACTCAACAAGCAGTCAAACCTGTAAACATACCATGACAAAACAAAACACCAGTATGAAAAGATTAGACAATTTGAAGGATAAATTATTTTTTTAGAAAAACTCAAGAGACATCAACAAAGAATTTAAGTTCCACTAGAAGGATTTTTCTTGGATCTAGTTTGAGAAAATCCAGCAATTTTAACGTAAGAGTCGAGTTTTAGCACAGTGGTAGAATACAATTTCATATTAGACAAGCTCATTTGGCTGAGTACACACTGATGCAGTGTGAATAATTGAATGACATTTCGAGCACAATTTATTGCTCGGAGCACATAAACATCAAGGCTTTTTGTTGACAGCCTCTAATTATCTAATATACAGGAGTTCACAGTACATCGTGACAGCGAGCCACCTAGAATGATCGCCGCATTGCAAAACCTAACTGACAGAAGTCAGTCTGCACCAAACGAAGGACCGCATGCATGATACTAGTTACTAGCTAGCGTTCAATCAAAGAAACTTATCTTTTGCCTGTTTTCTTGATTATCCTTTATAATATCAAGCAGATCATACATTGTGATCGGAATAACTTGGTTTCCAAAGGAAACCAGAGTGAAATTTCACCAGTAATGAATTCGCAAATTGTAAAAATTAACCTTTATTCGTGTACACATTATTTTTGCAGTCAGTTTCACCTGCTTCTTGTATTATTTTCAAACACAAACACTGACCTATTATTTTTCATTATAAAACATTTAGCCAAAAACCAATTCTTCGTAGAGTTCCTAAGTCGACGACTACAGAGAGATTGAGAGCGATGAGTGCAACACCGAATTTTTCAGGACATCAAAATTTTGTTGAACTGAAAAGGAAAAAATCCGATACAAGTCAACCGTTGGTAAGTCTATTTGACTTCGAAATTATGTTTGTTATATATTTCGGGAAATTTATTTTTACTTGTACTTAAGTCTTTCTTTCAGTGAGCCTAAATGATTCGTTTATATAAATGCAGCAGACGATCTTTGGGTAGTGATATTGTCTTATGGCACGATATTGTTTCCAGTCCAGATGGAGATTCCGTGTTTGTTCAGTGTGCTGTCTTAGATCGTAAGATTGCTTATAATTCCTTTCCTAGCGCAACGGCAGAAGACGAGAGAATTCGGTAACGGAAATATTTGTTGGCGACTGGATATACAGATATAAGCAAAATAGACCTACCACACATTAGAGTCACAATTTGTACATAGCTTCGCTGTTGTGCTTCCTTGTCTTCCCTTTTCCATGTTTCCATGTTGTTTCATAAGTATCGTTCATTAAATCCACCTCTCCGATATTCGAAAATCTCGTAAATGGAAAACATATTTACATCTGTACGTATATACTACTTATAAATCTTATCAGTAGCACACGCCACATTAGGGCAATTCTGTTAAGGCAACTGACTTCAACATTCAAAGAGACCTGAATCACAAAGTGGTTTTCTTCTTATTTTTATGGGAGGCAAAATAGGCTTTACACTGCGTTTCTCACTGAAGCCAGTGTGCCATAAGGTGCTATACTTTCTCCAAATGTTTTTTCTCTCTTTTTGCACGACTTACCGTATCCATCTAAAGCGAATTTCAGTAATTATCTTAGCGGTTTAGCACTCCTTGCTCCAGCCTTTTCTGCATTACATTGCTGTCATATAAATAGTTTCCCATCTGAAGTCAAATAATGGTCTCCTGAAAATGATCTTAAATTTAACTCCTCCAAACATCAAACTGATAATTTGAGTAAGACGAATGTGTAGTGCCTCGGTTCCATGATTCTTGTAATACTGGAGTCATTGTTGTACCACACAAATCGATCATTACTTATTCAGTAATAGTTTTCCTTTTGATTGTTGTTTTTTTATCTCATATCATATTAGTTTCTAAAAGAAATCTTTATAAGGAAGTCGTGACTTCCCGGAGCAACTCTGCCTCTTCTCTTGCCATTTATTAATTCGTGTATTCCGTTCATTCTTCTTTATTCTTCTCCAGTTGTTTCTCCTTAAGTTCATCAGAAGAAACCACACCATATTATGCGCGATTTTGAAGGATATAAACTCGGTTATTAGTATGCCAATGACCCCACTAACTGACACTGTCGTTGACAAACATTTAAATTCCGTCAAGAAGTTTGTCGGGGTAACTTTATTGCTTAAAGCAATTAGTTCCCTTTATGAATTTCGACAACACAATAAGAAGACGTAGTTTACCTGAAACGTGTAATGTATTGGCGCAACACATTTTGGACATTCTGATCACACACGTACTTGTCATTCACAGTTTTTATATAATGCAAGAAGGCATGAATAATTACAATACAGGTCAGATTGTATACAGGTCAAGGTCACAAATAATGGGTAGGGAGACACAAAAGGTGTGGGTAAGAAAGATAAAAGGAGAGAAAAAACAAGGCAAAGAAGGGGTTGAAAATATTAGGAAGTAAATTAGTCCTTAGTGCGTCGGTGGCATAGCGGTTAGGACGCTCCCCGACCGTGTTCATGGACCGGGGTTAAATCCCCCACCGACGCACTCCTTTACCTCGCTAAGCCAGAAATAACACTGGTAAACAGGGAAGGTTGGGCATGAGGCTAGCAACCTCATCCTGTAAAAATTAAACACTGCTACAGAAACTTCAAGCCACTAGCTTGAAGCCCTATGTTCCACTGGGGAACGTGAAGGAAAGAAAAAAAATTAGTCCTTGGTTCTAAATTGAATTACCAAGGCAGGTTTAATTTTTGGACACATAAGACAGGTTTAAGTCTTTTTATGGCTAAGGCTTCAATGAATTTAAGTATGTGGCCCAACCTCGTTTTATATATCGGCCTAAAGGCACTGTTGAAATCAACCTTATGACCCGTCTCTATAATATGCTTGGCTATAGATGATGTTGGACATCTATTTCCGGGTTCACTTGTGTCTGGTGATTTCATTTGTTGCTGCAGCCACTTTGGAATGTGTTCTGTAGCCCTAACCTGCAGAGACCGATGGGTCCTTTATTGTTTACTGAATACCTTCTCTAATCACAACTTTCTCTGTTTGTCTTTTCAGGAAAAAATAGGGACAATTTTTTATCACAGTTTACATTCGCATGGTTAAGTATAAAAACTCAACGATACTCGATTTAGCGCAGATCTTGGGGAAAGAAATGTGGGATAATACTTGACAAAAACAGTTTTTATTCCCTAAATGAACAGCTACTATACAGAAGCATTCAACATATAAATTTATAGCAGAGAGAGTTTTAACTAAAATGAATATCAGTTCATAAGAACCCCCACTTTGATAGCTAGGTTACGTAATAAAATACAGATTCTTCAACACAAAAGAGAAACATAAAAATACTCATTCTCCCTTATTGAATTTCAATCAGACAAATCCATCGGTTCGCGTGGATCAAGACGGTACCATCAATTATTTCAACGGTTTCTGTGCGACTGCTTACAACCTGAAAATTCAGTTAATTATGTGTACAGGGAAATTTTAACGTGCTCGTCATGAGTTCAACTCAAATCACCGGTAGAAGAAGTAGGCAAAATTACATCACAGCAAAAGAAAGTGTTTAAGGCCAGAGATTACGTCATCAGATTGAAGGAGGAGTACAGAAATCGAGTTACTAGGGCAAGGAAAGACTGATAAGTGCTCCTTTCTGAACACATAAGTCAGGTTTTAAGCGTCTGACAACATTTGCTCAGGTAGACTTGATGAGAATTGGACTGTATTTACAGTTGACAACCCTAAGCAACTTCAAAATTTTCACCTTATGATCCGTATCAACAAGATGCCTGACAATAGCACTAGTGAAGGCATTTGTTCCTTTGAGACGTAGGCTTTTAGGTATATGTTCATAGAAATGCTACTACATACGCATGTGAACCCGTATGTGCAGTTAAGGTTAATATGAGAATTCTGTCTGTCTAGCTTTGATTGAACCGAAGCGCATGATGTTTGATAAACGGGAACCAAATTAAATTCAGCTTAGGTCCTGACTGGTGAAGTATTCAATCTCCTATTGACGATTCCTTGCGTATTACCATCCTCAAAATCTAGGTGTTGGTACCACCTTATTTCGCAAAAACCGTTGCTTTCGCTTTAGTCACAGATTACTTTGTATAAAAAATATCAAACCAGGAAGTAAGTACTACGTCACGGCTGAAATCATGAAACATCTTTGAGCTAGGATTAGTATTGAATAATTCTCTCCAGTACGTTTCAAACCAGCTTACTAATGAGTAAAGAACTTTCAAGGTAGAATAAACTAACATATGTTGCACAGTTATATTCGTGACAAAAACAATACTTACTTTTGCACATAGATATCTGGTTGATTTAATAGAATTGCAACGGCCTCTACTGTTAGGAACGTTCCGTATCTAGAGACTTCCGATAATTTATTCGACACCCCGATAGAAAATAGAGAAAGATTCTTCAATGTTAGCTTTCAGCTGTATTTGCATGAGATCGTCCAGTATAGAACTGTTGAGAGTTTTAAGAACACTTTTGTTTATCCATAGTGGTATGTGTGATGTTTCCAAGCATGAAAACATAGGTTCCTAGAGCAGTGGCCAATATAACCGGCTGAACAGGATTATTCAAGTGCTGGTTTGTAGGGATTTGATTGGTTACAGGATTTTCATCATCAGCTGACATCACTTACAGAACCATTGGAAAATCTGGGAGTACTGGACAGTTTTTTCGTCCTAGTTTGGGACTCTTCACAGTACGCACCCACACAGCAGGGTTCGGATCCAGGACCTTCTGGTTACAAGGCGAGCTCTTCTCAGTACTCCCAGGTTTTCCAATGGTTCTCTAACCAATGTCAGCTCATGATGAAATCCTGTAACCAATCAGCCAAATCCCTACAAACCAATACTTGAATATCAATGAGATGCTCACTGGCGACTGGCCCTATTCAGGTAGGTAGTTACTTGGGGTTTCTAGTGGAAAGTCGTGACTAGTAGGGTGCAGCAGGTCGGGTGTAAGGACAAATACTTGCCGAAGACATTGGAAGAAGTTAGAATCCATGGGCCATTGGATCGGGTCCCAGTGGCTTAATTGTCTACGAGCTCGCCTTGTTGCTTTCTACTCTAACTGGCCATATGCTTAGTGATGCAGTTTTCAGGGTATTTGTTTTCAATGTGTGTCGTATATAACCTTAAGTTAGTCTTTAACCGGATCTTCTGAACACATAGCTCTGATTCTATAGCTGAGGATCATTGTCGAATTTATTTTATACCATACAGAGACAAAGCTGTAACATAATGTTCAGTTTTTAATAACGCATGTTGTTATTTGTTTGTTTTGTTTTACTTTGCTTTATTTCACAGACATCAAATTTGAACGGGACTCCAGAGGTGTGTAATAAAACCAGCTGATAAAACAAATACAATCGTTTCTTTGTTTCGTTTCGTATTCTCACCTGAACATACTCTCTATCTTTCCCCCCTTTCTCTCTCCCTCTTCGTTTTCTTGATCATTTGGGTTGGTGAGCGCCTAATTATTTTTTCAAAAGATACCTACAGAACTTTCTACACAACATTTAAACAAAGGGTAATAACAGTAAGCACAAACAAAGCGTTGTAGATCTCTCTATACATATATATATACCCATCTATATGTATGCTTAATTCCTTTCTTCTCATCCAATATAACAACTGTCTCCCTGTGTCTTGTTCATCTTAAAACCACGTCTCAGGTGTGTATGTGTGTGTGTGTGTAAGTGTGCGTCCGCGTGTGCGTACGTCAGTGAGTGCTTGATTTATTTGCCTTTGACAATATGGTATGGGTGATTAGCACATATTTATCTTTCTCCTTAGTTCTGTTGTCATTTTAGCGCCTAAGTATTTGTGTTTGTCATTTGTGTATTGTTTTTTAATCTGTTCATCCATTTTACGCTTTGTTATGCAATACACTACAACTGTTTATTGATCATTCATCTGTTTCACGCCTAGATTACGTAATAAACTAATTCTATTATTACCATTATTATTATTATTACTTTATTACTTGTATGATTTTCAGACAATGGTTTATTCTTCAAACAATTTCTCTGATTTGATTTTATAGTGTACATCTATACCCTGTGCTCGTCTCCACACACACATACACACACATACTCACATACGCACACACGTACACACCTCATTCCTCTTTAATATAAAACAAAATATTGTGGAGGATCCGACGACAGAAAGATACATTCATGGCTAATAACATATACATGTATAACACATATAATCATTTGTCTTACCCTACCTTTGACCACATGGAACACTTATCCACGTACACTGTTAATTCATCAATGACACCTACTACAAAATCAAACTGTGGAAGAGGAAGTCGACGTCGTACATGAAGAAGAAGAAGACGAAGAAGAGTAACAGAGTGATAATTTACCCTATTTTGTTGAAGTATACTGTAACTTTATTTCTTTTCTATATTAAAAAAAACGAAATAAACAAAGAATCACAAACTAATGTTTGATAGATATTTCTGATTAATTTACTTTATCCTGTAAAGTTGGGTTGCCTCTACTCTTGTCTTCTAGAACTTTGAACTAGTTGTGTTCTAGGAGATGGGTGATTTAATTGCGAAGCTTTCGTCGTCCTTCTAGACAACATCGCTTCAGTGCAGCTTTTAGCATAAAATGGACTTATTTAAATTCTTCATGAATAATGTATTTGCATCTCATGGCAACCACTATCGTGACTGGTTGTTAATTTACATCACCATTGATCCTTTTTATTGAATTGAAATTCGAACTCTCTTGTCATGTGATTTACTTTTGATTAGCTGGTAAATTTAGTCTATAGTAATGGGTTTGTTAATCGCTAGATGATTCACCCGAGTACCGGGTGAATTTTTGGTGTTTCCTCTTTTTAAATATGTCTGTATTATCCCAATGAAATTCATGTCCATAATTATCTACGTGCATTGATATGAAAGAATATATATATCATGTCTTTTTATAGCTAATTTGTTTCCTTGGATTCGCATTCAAAGTGGATGCCCGCTTTGACCGATATAATGTCTGTTACAGTTCATACAGTATATTTTGTAAATGGTAATAATTTTATCTTCTATTTCTGTCGGATCTTTCGGTTTGCACAATATCGAATGAAGTGATTGTGCTGGATGGCTTGTGTGCTATATCTATTTCAAACGGTCTTAATATTCTAGTCGTTATTTCAGAGATATTTTTTATATATGGTAGGATGAATTTTCTAGTGTACAAATATTGTTTAAGAGAGCTCAAACACACTGTAGAACTCCGGTGTTGAAGCGAATCGAGAACAAATACCTACTAACGGTCTTCAAAAAGGATGGATATCTTCACAGTTTCATCAAAAAGTGTTTAAGCTCAAATCATAACACCAACAAGGAACCATTAAGAAACGCTAACAGAATATTCATTCTACCATAAATGAAAAATATCTCTGAGATAACAACTAGAATATTAAGATCATTTGAAACTGATGCAGCACACAATCCATCACAATTACTTCATTCACTATTGTACAAACCGAAAGATGCAACAGGAAAACAAGATGAAATTAATACTACTTACAAAATAAACTGTATGAAGTGCAGTCAACATTACATCGGTCATAGTGGTTATCCCGTTCGAATCTAAATCCAAGAGTACAAATTAGCTGTAAAAAGGCATGCTATATATTCTTTCATACCAATGCAAGTAGATAATTATAGACACCAATTTCATTGGGATGATGTCGAAATTTTAAATAGAGAAAACACCAGAAATGCAGTCAGGGAATTCCTAGAAGCCTTGTACTCAAGTGAATCAGCCAGCGATTAACAAACATTACTAAAGACCCAATTCACCAACTAATAGAAGGTAAGTCCCATGACAAGAAATTTTAAATTCCAAGACAATAAAAGTGAATATTGGAGACGTAAATTAACAACCAGTCACAACGGTGGTTGCCAGGAGATACAATTACATCATTAGTGGAGAATTTAAATAAGTCCATTTTATGCTAAAAGCTGCAATGAAGCGATGTTGTCTAGAAGGACGACGAAAGCTTCACAATTCAATCAACCAGTTCAGAGAATATCACTAATTTAGAATCATCCACCTGAGCTACAAATCTTCTCCATTACTAACACTTTGCTAGGATTGTGAAGTGTCATTTTTCGGGGATGTGATAGATTTTACGTTAATCGTTATTATAAAAACCTTTTTGTACTTCCCAGTGAACGAAAAACAAAATTACACTGTTTTTTGTTGATGTTTGGATATCTAATGCTTCTAGTGGCTTTATCAAAGTATTATTAGACAATAATTTATAAAATCACAGGTTAGATATACAGTAACTTAATCATCATTCTTTCTAGACTCTCTGATTGAGAAGAAAGAAAATGAATATTTTACTATATCTGTATTCAGGAAGAAAACACATTCAAACAAATATTTAGACTAAGGATCATCACACCCCATCAATGCAAAGGTATCAGTTGTCTCGAGTATTCTTAGACGAGCACACTCTTGGATGTTAACGGATGAGAAGGAAAAAGAAGAAGTAATATCAAACATTATTGCTGAAATTCTCAAGAAAAATAACTATCCAAAGAACTTCGTTACAAAAATCAACATCAAGTATGGTAGAAAACGTATTCCGAAAACATGGACCTCAACAGTTGTCATTCCATATAGAGCACAGACGCCAGACGATATCAGATGAGTACTCAATAAGCTCGAAATCAGAGTTTTCTTCAAAACATCAGACACACTGGAAAGCAAGCCTGTCCATGTAAAACAACGAATTCTAAAGGATTAACAATATAATTGTGTCTATTAAATAAAATGCTTGTAATGTGATGCAGTATGCCTCGGAGAAATCTCGCGTGAAATCAGCCTTAGAAGAAATGAACACCATAGAGCTGCATCTGTTAGACCATCGAGAAATCCCGTTGAGCTAGAAAAGCTTGAAAAATCACCAGCCATAGGTCTACATACTATAGAATCAGGCCACAGAATTGATTTTGACAATACAGAAATCATCCAGAATAATTTCAGAAATCACAAAGAACGTCTAGTATCAGAAGTAGTTCACATTATATCGGATCCAAATTTTCTGAATAGGAATGATGGACTTAGACAGAATTTGACCTGATTCCAATACCTCCCCGTGAAGTGACAAAATCAACACAAATGTGAAAGCAGTTTCCGTTGTATAAACACATACTGTTTTTATAATTTCATACGCTTATCAAAGTTAACAATCCACACATGGCTTTGTTATCTTTACCAATTGACCAACTTGACAACGCAGAAATGCCCGCATGCTGATGAACGATAATTTTGTTAAATGGACTGAGATTTTGTAAATTCTGGTTTAACAATACTTTTATAAGACTTTTAGAGGTATTAAATAGCGAAACATCAGTAAAAACAATATCGTTTTGTTTTTCATTCATTGGGAGATACAAAATCTTGTATAATAACGTTGCAATGCACCCAATGTACACATTCTTTTCAAACTGTTAAACGTTGACATATATATTTCACATTAGATCACGAAATGACATCATTTAGAAAGACGCCAGTAACTAGGGTGTACTGCACAGCTGCTTTATCCCAATTTTTTGAGACTTCAGCACTACACGCCCATCATGTCACCGGAGAGTCGAAATCAACGAGGTGATCAATTAACCACTGGGATGAAACTCCGTGATCAGTCCATGAATTCTAACTTATATCAATTCTCACTGTATAGAATCACCAGCAGCCACTGTTATCACTGAGGATTTTTCCTTACACCCAACCTGACGTATCCCACTGGTGACAACTTCTCAACAGTACTTACTCCAGGCAATTTGATCATGCAGTCGGTCACTAATGAGCATTACATATAATATGATAACTTATGTAATTTTTGAAAAAATAAACCATTAAGTACGGTATAGACATATTTTGGTAAGTTAACCAAAGGATTTTCAACACCACTGTCAAGTCAGTTCTTCTATGTGGTGTAGAAACTTAGCGCATTACGAAAAGCATGTTCAGCAGGCTGCTGCAGTCTCTTATGAACACCTGCTTTCACCCCATACTGAAGATCAGTTGGCCAAAAAGGATAAACAACAGGGAACCCTGGGAACAAACCAATCAGGAACCTATTTCCCAACAAAATTGTGGAAGGAAATGGTTATGGATTGGGCAAACTTTGAGGAGACCGCCCGGCGACATAGCGCACCAATCCGTCTCTCCAGTGGAACCCGAATAGGTAATGACGAGTTGGGCATGTCTCCGAGGATGACATGGAGGAGATCGTGTGAGAAGGAGACGAGAGCTTACGGGGAACCGTGGAGCCAGCTTGAGAGGACTGCAGAGAACAGGACAAAGTGGAGATGAGCTGTTGAAGCCCTCTTTTCCACACGGAACCCAAGTTGATAAATGATAATGAGCGAAGGTTCATAGCCACATAACAAATTATTCAATCAAAGAGTAGTCACAAAAAAGCACTTTGTTACCAACTGAAACCTAATTTTACACTGAATGGATTTCATCATGAATTACCCTAAGCCAGAGAATGAAATAAATCCAAGAAGAATCAGATATACTTCTTTTACTGTACTTGTTGATTCTTTCAAAATGAAAACGCATGACAACGTCGAGTCCATCACATCCGCCAAAATTGGAATTTCGCTATTCAGTTGACAACTTAAATTTTAATATTTAAGTATTGATTTGTAGGAATTTGATTGATTGGTTACAGGATTTCATCATGAGCTGATATCAGTGAGAGAACCATTGGAAAGCCAACTGGGAGTACTAGACAGCTGTTTCGTCCTGGCTTGGGATTCTTCGTCAACACGTACCCACTGGGGTTTGAGCCCAGGACCTTATGGTTACAAGGCTAGCGAGCTCGTAGACCATTAAGCTACTGCGACCCGATCTAGTGGTCAACCCATGAATTCCAACTTCTGCCAATTCACCATATAGCGCGACCACTAACCACTGTCTTCAGCGAGTATTTGTCCTCACGCCCGACCTGTAACTAATCTATCAAATCCCTATAAACCAATACTTGAATATCAATGAGATGCTCACTAGCCACTGGCCCTATTCAGGTAGGTAGTTACCTGGGGTCCTAGTGGGAAGTCGTGTCCATCAGAGTACAGCAGGTCTGGCGTGAGGACAATTACTCGCCGAAGACATTAGCTAGTGGTCGCGATATGTCGTTAAATTTTAATATATGCTTCCCATGCTTATTCTAGCTGGCCACATTGTATCACTGCCATCTACTTCGATTGGTGAGTAACTCTCTTCATTTCCGACCTATGTGGAAACTACTTTTTACTGATACGGACTTCGGAAAATCTATCTTGAAGCCAATTGTTAGTGAACAGTGAACTGATACAATAAGTATCAAAATATCATTAGTTTTATTGAGCTTCCATTTATATCAAGTAATCCAGTGAGGTAATTATGTTAAATATCGATATAT